ACACATAAAACTACTATCTGTTCAAAATTGAATTTTTAAAACTATATGTTTTTGAAATAAAGTAGACAAAGATCCTAAAATATCAGGTACTTTTATCACTTAACTCGCGATAAGAGGAACACCGTGGAGAAAAAAATTTTCAAATTTGTATAAAACATAAATGAAAACCGTAGTTTTGATTCGGAACAGGATGATACACATGCGAGAAATAGGACACGAGTAAAGAAATGACACCAAAAAGAGAAATATACAGCTACGACTAGCTTGTTGTAAGGTTATTTAGCGAAAAGAATCAAAAAATTATCGCAGAACTTGAAGAACATAAAATAAATAAAACCGTAATCTTGAGTTGATGCGAAGTCAACTCAAGATTACGGAAACTATTTGAGAGTGTATTCCGGTTAATCTAAGTGTGCACGAGCATCATATAACATGGGCATGTTGGTCAGTCAAAGATCGCACATAGCGTAGCTGACATATAACTATAGAAGCGACTAAATAATTTCAACTAAAATTAAAATGGAGAAGGATACGCTTCATATAATATCAGTATATGTACCAGACATAGGAAGCACACAAATTTTATAAGCAGCTGCAAAATGTTGTAAAATTGATGAAACTGTAAAGTATATTAAGTGAACTATGATTACACTATGAGTCTTCCTGGTGAATATTGAGGTTGGTAAAAAAATTATAAATTATCCCATAATTTACTTTTGCATTTTTTTTTCAATTTTAACCCTTGTCATAATGTCATGCCACTGTAAGTTCCACTTATTTATAAAATAATTAAACAAATTTTTCCCTAACTGATACAGCTGACAAGGCACCTAGAGGCATATTTTCCTCATAATTGGAAATAAGGACGCATTGTATTTGCCATTATCCCGAAAGCTTCATCATCAACAAATACATGTGGCAGCAGAGTTTCATCTCTGTTGGACATAGGTTTCCGTTTTGGAATTTGCCGTGACTTTTCTACCAATTTTTTGTAAAGAGTTGAATTCTAAAAAATTGTAGCATCACTGGTTGAAGTGGTCATACTTTTCAAAGACTTTTGTCACATCTTTTTTGTCATCTCTGGTGTATACATATGTACCCTTTCATTTATGCTAGATTACTACACAAACTAGCTCGACAAGGTTTAAACTTAACTAATAACGAACTTCAAAATAATTTCCAGCTACTTTTCTTGCTCACTTTGCCTATAAGGATTTTTTTCTTTTAAGGCTTTACTATTATCGAGATACAGCCGCTCCGTACCCTTATAGGGACACACAGTATACTATACAAACTAAGGAAAGTTGTGCTACCACCTGTATAATTAAAGTACCAGAAAGGTCAAAATAAAAAGCATCGTCAATTTTTTTATATTAATTAGTCAGTTCATAACAGAAACGTGTAGCATTATATATAGTACATACGTTTGATAAAATTATTCACAGGTATTCAAATCCAGGACACAGTTTAACATCTTAAGATAAGACTTGCGATGTTATTGAAAAGGAAATGCGAAACTACCCGCTGGTCGTCAGCACTTGAGTTAATTGGAAAATTACTTTTGGTACTTCGTTAACGTCACAGACCGAAAAGGATGTAATCTACATAAGTCACGTTAAATAAACCACACGCCGAACAACCGAACTGAACCGTTGAATTCGAGAATACCTATTCGAATGCAATCTGGCGTAACGAACTGCCAAGTACGGAGAATGTGAAAGACCGTGTGTGACCGTGGTTAAATCAAACTTTTGAATTGTTTGTGTTTAGTTATTATACCATACGCTAAAACGATTAATCGTCTTGGTCAAAACGAATTTGTGATTGAAATTGGACGTTCTAACTATTGTACTGTATGTACTAACTTTATTGTTTGAATTAGAATTTGTTATTTTTTGACCAACATGTTTTAAAAAATAACATCATATCATATATTGATAGATGTAACAATTACACCACTAAGTACAATATTAACAAAAACGATAGATATACAATGTTAGCCATAACCAAATTATACATCAACTTGGATGTTGACATGCATTTGTAATCTTCGCTTTCAAATGTTTTAATAATATCTTGTTAAAACATGCTATAGTCAATTATATTACGGATTCCAATTCACGAATTCTCAAAAATTTCATCCAGATATCCTTTAGCTATTCAAACATTAAGGGCGAGTATGTATTCCAGCTGTAGCAACATAACTAGTTGGCAAATCGAGATATCTCTTTGCAGTGAGATTTTTGCAGCCTGAAATGGCGAAATCTTTTTTGATCTGACTTCTTATGCCCTTTGCGAGACCGTGAGTGTTCGAGATGTACTCACTCAAGTAGGAAAATTCCAAGACTTGTTCGATGGGGATATTGTTGACCACCAACTTACGTCGTGCAACCACAATGCAATTAGTTTTTAAAGAGACACACCCATATTCACAGCGTTGTTTGCTTGACAGAACTTGTATAGTTGTCTTTGCAAGTCATCCTCTAAGTTAGCGCTTATTGCAGTGTATAGATACTAAGGTAAATGTTTATACAGCAATAATACAAGGAGATTACCAGATTTCAATACTTTGGTAGGCGAGAAGCTACAGCAAGTGAGCTTCCGATTTACCGAATCGACAAATTACAAAGGATTAAACCTTGGAAACACAAATTGAACGAAATGACCAGATATCAGTGAAATTAAAAGTGATTGTGATAAGGAAGTTGCTATAAACAGTGAACATGATAGTCATTCGAAGATAGAAGGTGATAATTGTTGCATTTATTAGATGGAGAAAATATTCCAACACCACAAGAGATTAGCTTTCACTATTTTTATGGAAAATAAAAGTGTCAGATAATAGTGCCAGAGCGACCGCGTCAATACAACAGTGGGTTGGGTTCAAATTATGTTGCTATTCAAATTGTGATATAGAAGTTATCTCAGATCCATCTTCTTCTCCCAGTTTTGTCTCGCCGTTCCCCTAGGTCTCGCTCCTTGCATTTTTCTTGTATCTTTCCCTCCTTTATCTTAACCACTTATATGTCCTGCCCATTGCTATCTTCGCATCTTGATGTACTCTGAACAGTTATTCTCATATGTTGGAGCTACAATCCTTCTCTGGATCTTGTTCTCGAAGGCTTCTATGCTGATTGTCAGTTTCTAAGTTAATGACCACATCTCACACCCATATATCATTGTTTTACTTTACAATTGTTTTGTAGATCCGAAACTTTATGTTACTATGTGCAACCTTAGATTTGATTATATTGCAAAGTTAGGTTTGTTGGCCAGCAGTATTCATCTTCGTGTTTCCCCAGCCTGGTAGCTGCATTCCAAAATATTCAAGTTGCGAAACCACCTCTATGTCATCCTGCCTGACTTAATCTGCATCATTATTATCGTTTTCTCTACATTTGTTGTCAGCCATGCTGGCTTTACCACGTCCTTCATTTGTCTATAGGTTTCTTTTGCAATCCTTCTTGTTCGGCTTAATTGTTAATGTCGTCGATATTGGGTACCAGCTGTTTATCAATAGATTCGATCTTCCTATTTTCGTTTGTTGTATTGAATGTTCCAGTGCCATATTAAACAGCATATCCCCTTGCTTTAGTCCGTGGGTAAAATGGTAACTTTTTGTTAGCTGTATTTAATTCTATTCCATTTTCCCTGCAGCGATCGTGTCCCACTGCCTTCGTCTCGTAATCTTCCCTCAGATTCCCCAGTACAATTGGTTCCTTCAATTTCTCTAGATTGAGTTCTCCCGCTTCATGTGGCTTTGTGTATATTCTGATGTTTTTCCGGCGGCCAGTATATGTTAATCATTGTTATGCAACTATGAACACCACTCCTAATCTCTTCGGGCCTGTCTGCTTGCCATTGTATAACATAGTGTAAATATTAGTATCTCTTATTTTTTTACCCAGCCATCCAGTTTCCTGTATGTGGTTTCTGTCTCCCACTGAAATTGTTTGTAGCGGTCCTTCAGAAGGTTGCTCAGACTAACGACGTTCCCCAGCACGAAGATAAGTGTCAGAATTGAGTAACATACAACTTATATTCGCTACTTCACTACTTCATTTGTGAAGTAGTTCATCAGTGAAGTTAAAGACATTTAATATTGGAAACGTGGTAGAAACTTGACACGTCTCCTCTGAGACTTGAAGAGCTGCTTGTAAATCATACACTGCAACGACAACCCAGTCTAAATTGTTTCCTTTATCTTTTTCTTTTTCTTTACGTGAGAAATCTTTTTCTATTAGATGTGTGTCATATTCTTATAGCTCATACGATCCGCACGTTTCACACTGATCTTTCCTTGAACAAAAAAAAGATATTTTAAACTCGTTGTTGAAAATTCTGCTATACATTAAATAATTTGCATATGATTTATTATTTTCTTTGCAGATCGCTACATAGTCTCTATGGAGTTGGGCCACTGTTTTTCCTCTTTCGATGTATTCTAGGCTGGAATCCTTCCTACAATAATGGCGCGGTATGGAATTTATATGGCTTCGAATACTATTTTTCACATCGTCGTCAATTTAGTAATGATTATTATGTTTTCCTCGCTGATCTGAAGTTATCATTCCCTTAATGTAGTAAATGTCTGCTTCTTAAATACAGTTCTGATTGGCCTGTCTGTTATCGGTAATGTGGATTTGAAAAAAAATTTGCAGGGTTATTTAAAAATGCATGGTTATTTCTGTTCGATTACACTGTACTCGTTTATATTGATATTTGGGATTAATCTCTTCAACACTTTTCAAAATAAAATCATGTTGCCTTTGTAAATCACCCAAGTTCCAAAAGTCTGAAAAATGGTCTTCCTCTATGATTTTGGTACTCACTGCAGTCTGCATGTTGAACTGCACGGCGGTCCTAAACTTTTAGCATTAAAAATTGTTTTACGTTTGGAACTGGATGTATACTCTAAGCCAGAATTCCTACATCGTTTCGCAACGTTTTTTTCCATTTCTCGAGATTTGCCTTTCTCTTCTTGACTTTTTGTTTATTTTCTAAATTGACTTCTGCTGTTTCATTTGGTAAAACAAGCTGTTCTGCCAAGGATTCATCTGCAGACAGGCCCTCCTTGAACTACTTGAAGATGACGTAGAACTGCAATTTGGGTCTGCATCCGAATCATTAAATTGTGAATAGTGTTCAGTAACAGATGAAGTACCAGTTTCAGAACTGGTAACTATTGGGGCATCTGGAATCGCTAAACAAATCTCAACGTTACTTATAGCTAGATTTGTATTCTCATCGTTGCCCACATTGCTGTTACACATTACATAATTTTCATTACTTATTGTCAATAGTTGAGTATTCGTTTCATTTTGAATAACATTATTTTTATCGTTTATTTGCTTTGAGAGTCTCAGCAATAATTTAGTCCGTTCGTTAAACGGCGCTACTTGCCAATTTTCCATTGTTCCTATTTTGAAAAGTTGGTTTTTTAATAACATTTTTTTCAAGAAAAGTGAAAGAATTAAAAATTTTACGACTTAAAATGAAATTCTATTTCTTAAGTATCAACAAAAGTGATGCAATTCCAGAAAAATACATTTTTGATCTGCTTTATTATTTATATTGAGTATAAATATTCAAGAATAAAGAAAAAACATCATATTCGTTAAAAATGAGAATTTATACTTTTTCAATTAATATTTTATTTCATAACAAAAATTTTAATTTCAATTACATTCAATTTTAATGTAATTTTCTATTTTTATAAATAAAGTTCTATTTTTTAGCGGATGTAAAACAAATATTTCATATTATATTCAAGAAAGTAAACACGACAATATTGACAAAAATTATTTTATTAATAAAAATTTATTTTAAATCAATAATTATAACATTACAAGTAATTAATCATCCATATACTTTAAAAATAACCTCATTTTTTCTTTAACGTTCCCTAAAAACTCAAAAATCTTATCAAACATTTTATCAAATCCTTTCAAATTTGTTGAAAACATCTTTTTCACCCCATTTTCCGTATTGTTAACATTAAAACTAACCAATTTCAAGGGATAATTCTCGGTGGTCGTGACATTTCGATTATTATCAGTATCATTATTCATATTAACATGTTTTAATGAAATTTCAGATGAACCTTCAGTATTTTTTAAAGAAATCTCGTCTTTCGTGGGTAAAACTAAAGTAAAATCAGATTCTTTAGAAATTTTTGGTATTAAATATTCAGTGTCTTTAACAATAGCATTCATTGGATTGATGGAGTCGATAGAATTTATCTCATTAGATTTTCCATTAAAATTATCATCATATTTTGAATACATATATTTTTTATATTTATCTTTTGAAATGAATCGTTTATTTCTGTGCACTTTTAAGTATTCAATCGCATCTCGAAATGTTGGGACATAATTTTTTCTTAAATTATCTTCCAATTTTATGTTTGGAACATATTCATTTTCAAAATATTGTGTACCCCTTGGTTTTCTATTTCTTAATTCATTTTTAATTTTTGATATTAATTCTTTCGTTTCATCATCAATCTCATCTTTTTTCTTCAAGTCATTTTCGTTCTGATTTAATTTATGTTGGGCTAATCTACTTTTTAAAAATTTTACGTTGTTTAATTTATCATTATTTAGTTTTATATTATTTAATTTATCATTATTCAACTTTATATTGTTTAATTTGTCATTATTTAGCTTTATATTATTGAATCGAACAGGATTTAAATTTAATTTTTTAATTTTTTTAATTCCTTTTGTTGTTTCTAAAGAATTATCATCATCTTTATTATTAGATCGTTGAACCATATCAACAGCTTCTTTTAAACGATTAATTCTTTGAGATAAATCGGTTTGTTCTTTCTTCGACGTTTTCAATTTTAATTTATTTTTCATTATGTTTTCCCTCATATGACGAATGTTTGAGTTCATTAATTGTCTATAATGTGCTATATCACTTTCGGTGAATTGTTTTTGTTGTCGTTTTTTGCGAATTTTTGAATTATCTTCATCGTATTGTGTGTAATCTTCATTGTCCAAGAAATCTAAATTTTCTTCGTTGGCGATTCGGTCATCTAAAGCTTTATTAAAATAATTTTCAAGGTTTTTTATTGTGTTTTTAATCGATCCTTCTTCGTTATTATTTATGACGAATTCTTTACTAACTAAAGAATTTAAAATGTTTTTATTTGGATCGGTTAAATCCGTATTTTGATGTTTATCGATTACTTTAACTTCTTCGCCGAATTCATCGTAAAAATCTGGGTAATCATTTTGAAATGAATCATCCAAATTTAAATCATTTTCTTCAAAAACACTTTTCAGTGAATCTTGATTTGTTTCATTATTTTCCTCGGTTTCCGGACTAGAAATATTTCTAGTACTTTTTAAATTAAAAAGTTTACTGAAATCGATAACCCTTGGTTTTAAAAGATCATTTAAAGTTTGTTGAAATTTATTTAAACTTTTATTATTATCTTGTGCATCATCTTCATCATTTTCATTACTTTGAACACTTTCATTTTCGTTTTCTTCATAATCAGTTTCGATTTTTTTAGGTTTCAAAAACGATTTTAACCGTAATTTTTCTAATTTTGTTCGCAAATTTTCTCCTTTCGGAGCTTTTTGTTCTAAAAGCTTCATATTAATGTCTCTTCCAATCCTTTTTCGATATTTGTTTAAAATCGGTTTATTCTTTTTAAAATTAATAAATTTTCTAATTTTTCTAAATCTACTCACATCCCTTTTATGAAAATTTCTCTCGCGATTTTCCTTCATTTTCTTCGTAATTTTTAAAATAACCTCTTCAATTTCTCGACTTGAAACATCCTGAAAATTATCCTTAATAAACAATTTTTTATTTATATTATTTCCATAAAATTTTTCGTCAATTTCTAATTCATTTTTCAACTGGTTATACAAATCGATTAATTTGGTTGATTTTAAATCATTATTTCTAGAATTAATTTGAGTTTTTGGAACAAATTGGTTTACAGAATTTTCTTCTTCTTCGATTTCTTCCATTATTAAATTGGTTTCATCCTCATCGTTGATACAAATTGGAATTCTCGCATCCGGAAGCACGAAAAACCCTATCGATTTTGGTGGAGTTGTCAATGTTAAAGACTTTGTTAAACGAGCTCGTCGAATTTTTGGGATTAAAACTTGATTTTGACGAAGAAGATCCATCGATAAAGGTTTATTATTTAAATAAGCGAATCTAAAATAATTAATTAATGATTTAAATTAATTTATGGTTAAATACTTACGTTGAATTTTCATTATCCGATGTTAAAATGTAACTTTGCACCTCGATGTGTTTTAAATTAACCACATTTAACGGTAATTTTAGTGATATTAAGTGTTCTTCGGTTTTATTGTTAATAATAGAAATTGTTATTGCACCTCTTCTTGAAAAACTATTTTGATTTTTTGTACAATGTGCTGAAATAAAAATTTGATCCCATTTTTCTAATCGTTCGAAACCGGTTGATGGTTTTATTTCTAATACATTTCGGCCCATTAACTTTTTGTGGAGATAAATATACCAATAATTCTGAAAATATGCTATAATTAATTACATTATTTATGCTATATTTATAATAACATAACAGTGTTTGTAGATTCACGTTGGAATTAGATGTCTTTTATTAATTCTTAAAAATGAATCACAAGTTATTGCATAAATTGCTGCCTTTCAATGTAGCGTTTAACCCTTTGTGTCCCAAGAAGTAAAAAATTTTGAAACTTTGTGACAGAATTAAAACGCTATCAAAATACACTCACTAAAGGAATCTTTGGAATCAATTTTAGCAAAATATGTAATCCCCCCATTTTAGAAGAGACCATCAAGCATTAAAATATATTTTAGTGATATTGCAGTATACAAAAACTTTTATTGCTGATATAAAAATAATACATTTTTTATTACGTTAGGAAATAAGTAACACTAGTGTCAAAAAAGATGCTAATTTAAAAATTCCCGAAAGCCGTATTTACTGAAATTAAGGAATGAGATCTATTCTAAATTAAAGCTCAAAGCTTTCTCTTTAAAATGATGTATAATAATTGTTGGGTTGGATTGGAAAAATATTGAAAAAAAAATGTTGAAATAAAATTTACATTTCTGTATAACCTAAAAGTGTTAAAACATATGCTAATTTAAAAATTCCTGGAAGCCGTGTTTATTGAAATTAAGGAATGAAACTTATTCTAAATTAAAGCTCAAAGCTTTCTCTTTAAGATGATGTATAATAATTGTTGAGTTAGATTGGAAAAATATTGAGAAAAAAAATGTTGAAACAAAACTTACATTTTCGTATAACCTAAAAGTGTCAAAAAAGATGCTAATTTAAAAATTCCTGGAAGCCGTGTTTATTGAAATTAAGGAATGAGACTTATTTTAAATTAAAGCTCAAAGCTTTATCTTTAAAATGATGTATAATAATTATTGGGTTGGATTGGAAAAATATTGAGAAAAAAAAAGTTGAAATAAAACTTATGTTTTCGTATAATCTAAAAGTGTTAATAAATATGCTAATTTAAAAATTCCTGGAAGCCGTATTTATTGAAATTAAGGAATGAGACTTATTTTAAATTAAAGCTCAAAGCTTTCTCTTTAAGATGATGTATAATAATTGTTGGGTTAGATTGGAAAAATATTGAGAAAAAAAATGTTGAAACAAAACTTATATTAACCTAAAAGTGTCAAAAAAGATGCTAATTTAAAAATTCCTGAAAGCCGTATTTATTGAAATTAAGGAATGAGACTTATTCGAAATGAAAGCTCAAAGCTTTCTCTTTAAGATGATGTATAATAATTGTTGGGTTATATTGGAAAAATATTGAAAAAATAAATGTTGAAACAAAACTTACATTTTCGTATAACCTAAAAGTGTCAAAATAGATGCTAATTTAAAAATTCCTGGAAGCCGTATTTATTGAAATTAAGGAATGAGACTTATTTTAAATTAAAGCTCAAAGCTTTCTCTTTAAAATGATGTATAATAATTGTTGGGTTGGATTGGAAAAATATTGAGAAAAAAAATGTTGAAACAAAACTTACATTTTCGTATAACCTAAAAGTGTCAAAAAAGATGCTAATTTAAAAATTCCTGGAAGCCGTATTTATTGAAATTAAGGAATGAGACTTATTCTAAATTAAAGCTCAAAGCTTTCTCTTTAAAATGATGTATAATAATTGTTGGGTTGGATTGGAAAAATATTGAGAAAAAAAATGTTGAAACAAAACTTACATTTTCGTATAACCTAAAAGTGTCAAAAAAGATGCTAATTTAAAAATTCCTGGAAGCCGTATTTATTGAAATTAAGGAATGAGACTTATTCTAAATTAAAGCTCAAAGCTTTCTCTTTAAAATGATGTATAATAATTGTTGGGTTGGATTGGAAAAATATTGAGAAAAAAAATGTTGAAACAAAACTTACATTTTCGTATAACCTAAAAGTGTCAAAAAAGATGCTAATTTAAAAATTCCTGGAAGCCGTATTTATTGAAATTAAGGAATGAGACTTATTCTAAATTAAAGCTCAAAGCTTTCTCTTTAAAATGATGTATAATAATTGTTGGGTTGGATTGGAAAAATATTGAGAAAAAAAATGTTGAAACAAAACTTACATTTTCGTATAACCTAAAAGTGTCAAAAAAGATGCTAATTTAAAAATTCCTGGAAGCCGTATTTATTGAAATTAAGGAATGAGACTTATTTTAAATTAAAGCTCAAAGCTTTCTCTTTAAAATGATGTATAATAATTGTTGGGTTAGATTGGAAAAGTGTTGAAAAAAAAATGTTGAAACATAAATTACATTTTCGTATAACCTAAAGGTGTAAAAAAAATAGTAAAAAATAGTAATTTTGTAACTTTTCATTCACTAAAACATTCAGAAATTCGAGAAAAACCTGACAGATGTTTAATATTTCAATTTATGCTTTTGAGAGTTTAAAGAAACTGATTCAACCCAATTTAGCCATACATATAATTTTTTCAAGGTCTTTGACACAACTGACAGTAAAACTCATTTCATTTAATTGGTTAATGTTCTTCACTAATTTCTTGTTAATGTTTTTAGTCGTGCCTGAAAAAGACAGCCAAGCTGTCGAAACATATGTAGCACTGATTGCAAAAATAAATTCGGGTTTAGCCTTGCGCCACAAAACGTGACGTCACATCGAAACTTTAATGTAATTTTTCGGTATGTTCTACACTTTCCCGCACTTTTTTTTTTATTTTTAACGTGTTTTTTGGAAAGATCGTCGATTTTTAAGCCACATAATGATTCTTGAAGTAGCCTTTTCTTATACATTTTCGCAAGGTGCTACCCACTTTCACCTTTCTCGAGTCTATTCAAAATCTCCACTTTACCTTCAATCTTCCTTGAAGACGAATGCAACCTCAGTTATGAAAAAAACTGAAAAATACCAACAAAGTACCGGGGCTATTATTCTCCCACTATTGTTTATCGTTAGAGNGACGTGGTTATAGAATTTTTGAAACTTCAGTAAGTCTTCTAATAACAAATAAATTATGTTTGAATTATTAACGCCAAAATCATCCCAAAATACTTTTTTGCCGTTTTCTCAAAATCGAAAAATTTGGACTTAAGGGTATTTGAAACCAAACAACTCATTTAATTGGTTAATGTTCTTCACTAACTTCTTGTTAATGTTTTTAGTCGTGCCTGAAAAAGACAGCCAAGCTGTCGAAACATATGCAGCGCTGATTGCAAAAATAAATTCGGTCTTAGCCTTGCGCCACAAAACGTGACGTCACATCGAAATTTTAATGTAATTTTTCGGTATGTTACACTTTTCCGCAGTTTTTTTTTATTTTTAAGTGTTTTTTGGGAAGATCGTCGATTTTTAAGCCACATAATGATTCTTGAAGTAGACTTTTCTTATACATTTTCGCAAGGTGCTACCCACTTTCACCCTTCTCGAGTCTATTCAAAATCTTCACTTTACCTTCAGTCTTGCTTGAAGACGAATGCAACCTCAGTTATGAAAAAAACTGAAAAATACCAACAAAGTACCGGGGCTATTATTCTCCGACTATTGTTTATCGTTAGAGGGCTTTCAGGTTTACGTCAGGCGTTTTTTGACGGTTAAAATTCATTGAAAATCTCAAATATCTTAATAAGAAAAAAAACAACTTTCGTTTTAGCCTTCATCTCTTAAATGCTATAAGGTAGGGAAATTCTTAAAGAAGAAGATGAACAGATTCCATGAAAACGTAGAAGATAAGAATAAAATATTAAAAAAACAGTGAATCTTTGCCTTCAAGAAGAGTTAATTCAAAAAAAAATTAAAACTTTAAAAAAATACGATTTTTCTAATCTGACATTTTGACATAAAACGTAAACTTTGAATGTTTTTGAAGTAAAATTAGCTGTGGTATTAATCGTCTCTAATTTATTAATGAATCAGCGTTATGTTACTACACAAGTAAACATAATTATACGAGTAAACAATTAAAGACTAATGCTGGAAAACATAACACATAACTCTTCATATATTATAATAAATTTACTCACCGTTGTATCTCTGATTAATTCATAAAGTCTTGGTGGTCTAAAAACAACTTCATACCCCAAAATAGCTGCAGTTGATATTTGTTTAGCCAAATTTAATGTGGACGAAAAAGTTATTGGGTTTTCCGATTTCGGTAAACTCGTCCAAATTGGAATTGAAGCTTTCGATGGAGACGTCAAAAGTTTATCTATTTCAGATTTAACCGGAAGGATGTGTCCATTTTCCCAAAAAACTGCGCTTACAATTTGATTCAATTCGTCGATTTTATTACGAATATCAAAACTTGATTCGGAATATAAATTGAGGTCATTCGAAATGATTTTCCAATCGTTTTTGTTTAACGAGAATTCGTCTAAAGTTGATTTTAATTTTTTTAAGTTTTCTTTGTAAACTTCGAAAGTTATATTTGATGACTCTAAAAAAATAGTAACAAAGAATGAATTAATAATGAGTTAATAACAATTACCATATCCTAATTGAAAAGAACAGTTTGCATTAATCTCCGAGAGAACGTCCAAAAAGGGATGGAGATTTTTAAAATTAAATTGTTCATCGATTAAATTATTATCGTTTAAAGCAAAAATGATAGATAAATTTGTTTTAATAAACCATTCGTTTAAGTAATCGATAAAACTTGGGGTGTAAACCAAATTTGATTCGTTTGATAAATTCGGTTGGTAATCTTCTTCGTTTTCGGAAAATTCTAAGTATTTAGTTGAAAATCCTGCTATTCTTACATAAGAAGGACTCAAAAACTTTCCTAATTCATGGGCTGTTTCACTAAAAATCGAGAAAAATCAAAAAATTAATCAATATCTATTATAATTAATTTGTACCTTATATTTAAATCTGTAAATAAAACTGTTGGGTCAACAACGAAGCTTATAAATTTATCACTAACATAATTTACAGATTTTTTCCCATTTAAAACACAAAAACTTTCTTCCCCACTTGTTAATTTAACAAAATTAACAAAAACCCAAAAATATAAAACTTCAAACTTCATTTTGTTCATATAAAAAGACAAAGAATGAAATTGTAATAAAGTAGCAAAAAGTTTTTAAAGTGAAAATGAAACGTTCGGAAATTTATTCGCTGATTCTGTAACAAAATATTAATTGTTGCAGTCGTGTAAAACAACGTTGGACGTTCTCGATTATAACGGGCGGGGTCAAATATTTGTACATTACAGTAATTAGTGCTAAATAAGCACCTAGTTGTTTCATATACACGGTCAGTTTCTGTATTTGCATACAGAATTATTCATAATTTTAAAATTGTAATTAGCAATCATATTCGGTACTTGTTTGAACAGTCGATTACAAATGTCACGATTAATTTCTAAAATTATTTGTTTTGCAAAATGAGTGACGTATTTATTTAAATCATATATATTTAAATAATAAGCATTGTTATTATTATTATTGTTATAATGATGTTATAAATATTTAAAATTTTGTAATATATATTTATGTCAGCGCCATCTCGTAATTACTAGTTAAATGAAAGTTTAATCACAAAAAGTATACAGTTGTTCACAAAATTGAGTATACAGAGGAATAATATGTACAATTTTTCGCTAAAAAAATCGTTTACCGAATATAAGTTTTTATTTAATAAAGATCTCTGAAGGATTTTTTTGAAACAGATAGTCGGTTTTATTTTTAATTCATTTGGAATGCGGTTATACACCTTAATACAAAAGTGAATAGCGTTTTTTTGTATTTTACTATATTGTGTTTTCGGTGCCACTAGGTAAGACCGCTCAACGCCCCGCGTTAAATGCCAATGTTTTTGCTCTTATTTGGAGAAGAAATTAATAGCAATTTTTTACAAATATAGCAGTTTCTAAATTTAATAAAGATGTTAATGTTAAGATGTAATGTTCACAAACTAGTTTACACGAATCTCTGGGTTTCAGTCCAAATATTGACCCGAGACACTTCTTTTGAGCTATGAACACGCGATCAACGTCCGCCGAGTAGGCCCAGAAAATTATAACGTATGTTTTTTTTGTAAGTTTAGTTGTAAGTGCTTATTTGAAAACCATTTCTGACATTTGTTTTTCAGTTTTTGTAGTTAATACTGCAGTGGAGTCATCAGCAAAAAGGATTAGTAGATCTTTTATCACTTCTGGAAGATCTTTAGGATAAAGAGGAAAGGTCCAACATGGATCCTTGTGGGACATCTCGCAGAATCTTTGTCATGTCTGAAGTAACTTCAGCACCAGTTTGATCATACCAGACTACCCGCTATTTTCTTTCTGATAAGTAAGATCGTAACCACTCCAGCGGAAGTCCTCGTATCCCCATAGCTTCCAACTTCTTCAATAAGATGTCATGATGGACACTGTCATATGTTCTAGCCAAGTCCATCATTATACAACTGATAAGATCGTTGTTATCAATTCCAGTTTGAATTCGTTCCATCCATTGGTATCAATTATTGCCTGCATTCGCCATGACATGGAGTCTACTAACTTTTTGGTATAGTTTGGTTAGATTCTATCCCTAGTCTTACAAATTTCATTTTTCAATTCGCTTTTGTTTCGGCACTTGCTATTCTTTAACTGAAACTTAACTTCTCCCCATAAATGTTGAATAGGATACATATCCGGAAACTGTGATGGTGTTTTAGTTGTTCATTCCTTCACAAGGTATGAAGTATGTTTAGGATCATTATCTTGATAGAACCAGAACACAGTCGGAAGATTGAGTTTTTGAGAACTTCTTTGACATAAATTACGTTTTAAAACATACGAATAACAAAATTTTATCCTATTTCCCTCAATAAACTCCACGCTGGCTGCCATTGATCTCTACAGCATTATTGAACCCATAGTTCAATAATAGAGATCTCCATAGTGAATTTTGGAACACTTATTTTTGGATTTATATTAACTTTATGTATAATATTACGTCCATTTTATTCTGTCAGCACTTTCTTTCTGCCTTTGCCAGTGGAGTTTTTCAATGTTCCTTCAAATCTCCGTGAAATGAGATCTTCCAATAATTTTACCAATATTTCTAAAGGATTTACCTACAGAATATTAGCTTCACCACAGGTTTTCTTATTTCTAACGTTGTTTCACATCGTAATGTGGCCATTGTCAAGCAATAATTTTCGAAATTATGAAAATTAACTGACTCAGATATGCCGCAGAAACATCAAAATACATTTCAAAGCTTACTTTAACGAAACAGTTAGACATAGGGGTGGTTCAGTAATGCTTTGGGGTTCAATGGCAGCCAGCGGGGCTGCCATTCTTATAAATCGGCCTTACTATAGTATTGCTGTATTGCAAGAGTAGTTTATGACGCTGCTCAAAGGTTCTGCAATTTCATCAACAAATGATACGAAATTCATGCCATAAAATTGAGTATACAGTTAAGCAAAAGTGATTCAGTTTAGGTTGGTATTATGTTTTAATACATTGGCGTCAATTATCGTCTGCATTTGTCGTGGCTTGGAATCCACTAACTTTTTGCTTTAGTTTGGCGAAATTCTATCCCAAATTTTATAAATTTCATTTTTCAATTCGCCTTTGTTTTGGCACTTGCTATTCTTTAACTCAAACTTAACTTCTCATTAATGTTCAATAGGTTTCATATCCGGAGACTGTGGTGGTGTTTTTAGTTGTTTTGAAGTATTGTGTAACAACCATTCCTTCACAAGGTATGATGTATGTTTAGGATCATTATCTTGTTGGAACCAAAACATAGTTGGAAGGTTGAGTTTTTGAGAGTTTTGATTTTAAACTATCCAAATAACCAAATTTTGTCATATTTCCCTCAATAAACTCCAGGTTGGCTGCCATTGATCCCCACAGCAATACTGAACCTCCCCATGTTTAACTGTTCTCACCAAATTCTTGTTTTTGAGCTCACAATTTTCTTTCCTCCAAACTATTTGAATTCTGTCTGAACCCCAAATTTTAATTTTAGTCTCATCAGTAAACATTACACTTTCCCAAAAGCTTTAAGACTTATTTAAATGAGCTTTCGCAAACTCCGCTTTCTTCTATTTATTGTATGCATTCTTTCGGAATTTTTGAAATCAGATTGTTATTAAAACTCTCAAATTGGTTGAATATTCACTCGAAGAATAAACCAACGTCCATTTTATGTATGGTAAGGTCGATGGAAATGCTTGGGAAGCTCGGAGGTAGTATGCAGAAAAAAATCTATTGGGTTCAAGTCCGGCGAACGAGGAGGCCAACCTACGAATTCGGATCGAGTCCTCCTCGATCTATCCACTTTTCTGGAAAAGTTTCATCCAAATATTGAAAAACTTGAATGCTGAAATGAGGAGGAGCTCCATCATGCGGTATATACATTCTTCTCCGTGTTTGGTATGACACATCCTCTAGTAACTCAAACAGGGTTTTTATTTATGACACCATTCCGAGTAAACCCAGCTTCATCCTTAAATAAAATCCTATCGGAAAGTTTCGGTCATTTTTTGTTTCCCCCATTGTTCCACAATCCACAAACATTGACTCATCTTTTGAAGGTGATATGATTGCAGTAGCTGTTCCCGCAGCTAATGGTACTTTTCGGTACGTTTTGGCTAGCACCACACAACCTTCTGGTGCTAGCCAAAGGATTTTCGTCTACTGCATCCAATATCCTTTCTTCAATATCTGCGGTTCAGGTGAAGAGTATCTTCCACCCGATTCACCCGATTAGGTTTAAAAGTTACTATCTCAGTCTTCTATAAATTGACGAAAAAGTTTGTTCACAAGGAAGTTGTATGTTTAGATACGCTTCTACATACAACCTCCGAACTCCCCGAGCAATTCCATCGGCCTTACCATACATAAAATGGATATTGGTATACTCTTCGAATGAATATCCATTTTGACCATTTTGAGAGTTTTAATAGCAATTTGAATTCAGAAATAGGTTACAAGTGTAAAAATTGTAACGTGAAAGAATGGCAGAAAAAATAAAGATAAAAAGATATGGTAGATTAAATGCGCCCTCTACATGTTACGTTGAATCCCATAATTTACTTTTTTTCTCTTGATTATCATATTTATCACATCAAAATATCCCTGTACACCAAATTTCGGCACTTTTTGAGTGCCATTAAGTGCTAGAGCATTAGCCCTTTAGGAGAGGAAGCATTTTCGGACCGGACTCTATAAATATATAGACGCAATTTCCGGACACCTGTATATCTTCCATTCCCCTGCATACTCAATTTTGTGAACAACTGTAGCTTAATTGTATTTAATTAATAAAATTTAAACAAACTATAATATTGATTCTTAAATAAACTAAAGAAAATCTAGAATAAATATAGATTGGATTCATATCTTATCAGAAAAGACGTCAAAAATATTATCCGTATTTCATTTCTTGTCTTANAAATGTGGTTATACACCTTAATACAAAAATGTTTCGCAATTTTCGGTGCCACTAGGTAAGACCGCTCAACGCCCCGCGTTAAATGCCAATGTTTCTGGTCTTACTTGGAGAAGAATGAATAGCTATTTTTTACAAATATAGCAGTTTCTAAAATTAATAAAGGTGTTAATGTTAAGATCTTGTAATGTTCACAAACTGGTTTACACGAATATCTTGGTGTCAGTCCAAATACTGACCTGAAACACTTCTTTTGAGCTATGAACACGCGATCAACATCCGCCGAGTAGGCCCAGAAAATTATATCGTATGTTTATTTTGTAAGTTTAGTTGTAAGTAGTTATTTGAAAACCAAGTTTGCAGTTTAGTTTGAGCTGAACCATTTCTGACATTTGTTCTTCAGTTTTTGTAATTAATAACTGCAGTGGAGTCATCAGCAAAAAGGATTAGTAGATCTTCTATCACTTCTGGAAGATCTATAGGATAAAGAGGAAAGGTCCAATATTGATCTTTGTGGAACGCCTCGCAGAATCTTTGTCAAGTCTGAAGTAACTTTAGCGTCAGTTTGATCATACCAGACACCTAAGATCTGAACCACTTCAGCGGAAGTCCCCGTATCCCCATAGCTTCCAACTTCTTCAATAAGATGTCATGGTGGTCACTCATATGTTCTAGTTAGGTCCACTATACAACTGGTAATCGTTGTTATTAATTCCAGTTTGAATTCGTTCTGATAATTGGAAAATTGCTCTGGATACAGATCCGTCTTTTATATAACCGTTTTGGGACTAGTTAAGTATTTGATTTTTGGTAACGTAATCTTTTAGTCCTTTCAGGACAAGCTTCTCAAAAGTTTTGCAGTGTTAGGAATTAGCGCAATTGGGCGGTAATTTGTAAAGTCTGATTTATTTCTCTTATAAATCGGCCTTACTATAGTTTTTTTCAGACTCATCGGAGATATTGCTGTATTGAAAGAGCAGTTTATGGCACTATTTAGATACATAACAATTAAATTGTTGTTTAAAATATATGTCAAAACTTCATAAGGTGTATAATCTAACTGTATAACTTCATAGGTGTAACTCTTCCGCTAGTTGAATGCCGTCGATGTATTTTCTATTGTTATGTGTAAGTCCATGTAATCTCCTTCATACTTTGCTTTATGACGTCCTCTTTTTGGACCAATTTCTTAGGTCAGCAAGATTGTGCAAAAATCCGAATGTATGTTGAAAACGCTCCTCTATTGAATGAATCGCTATTTTAAGCTATTTTAATCGCTATTATTGTAATGCATATGACCTGATAATTTAACTTCTCTAATATATTGCTTGCTTCTACATTAGTATTATTTCCATGAGAACCCAGCAAAGACGTGTCTTCTACAATACCAAAAAGTGACAGGACAAAAATCTAACGGGCCTCATCGTATTTATCCTACTTTCCCATATCGTAGAACATACAATTTAATTTAATGTTAAATTAGTCAGATGTTTGACAAGAATAGACCATCTATAAGTAGATGCAGAAAAAAAATTATACAAGCTTTGTATTATTCCAAAAAAATTGACCATTTCTATATTTGATTTTTCAGTATCATTTACAACAAGATTAGTATAGTGACAGGAGCAAGGAACAAATAACGCTCTAGGATTTATATTTGAAATATGTTTTTGTGGTCCGTTAATCTTACCTTTCATATTGGCTCCACTGTCGTAGCCCTGTCCTCTACAGTTGTAAATGTCTAAACCTAGTACTTTTATTGTGTCTAAAAATATAGATGCCAGACCGACTCCTGTAGTGTCAGTTACATCAATAAAATGTTCTTCCACCAAATACGTATTCTTTGATTCGGTGTTAACAAATCGAATTATTAATGTAAATAGTTCTTTGTGGCTGATATCGGGACTTGTTTCCATGATTAGAAAAAAATTCGGCTTTTTTGCCATTTCTATAATTTTCTTTTTCGTCATTTGTGCCAATAAACCTACTAATTCATTTTGTATGGTTTACTAAGATAATCAACCTGTGTCTCTTTAGACGTTATACGTCGAAGATGTTCTTTAAGGATTGGATCATATAAACTTAGACATTCAATATTTCGAAAACACTCCGTTATTTTTTTCAAAGAGTACATCAGATTTTCCTCTAAATGTGTTAGTATAAGAATAACGTCTGATAGTTGTGATTTGGCCGCTACAGGCGGCTGCCTGCTTCGCCTGTACGTAGAGCCGCCACTGGGTAAGGCCGATGGAAATGTTTGGGAATCTTGAAGTTAGTATGCAGAAATAAATCTATTGAATTTAAGTCCGGCGAACGAGGAGGCCAACCTCGATCTATCCACTTTTCTGGAAAAGTTTCATCCAAATATTGCCAAACGTGAATGCTGAAATGAGGAGATGCATATACCACATTCTTCTCTGTGTGTGGTATGACACATCCTCTAGTAACTCAAACAGAGTTTTTATTTATGACACCATCCCGATTAAACCCAGCTTCATCCTTAAATAAAATCCTATCCGGAAAGTTTCCATCTTTTGAAGGTGGTATGACTGCAGTAGCTGTTCCCGCAGCTAATGGTACTTTTCGGTACGTTTTGGATAGCACCAGACAACCTTCTGGTGCTAGCCAAAGGATTTTCGTCTACTGCATCAAATATCCTTTCTTCAATGTCTGCGGTTCTGGTGGAGCGTAATCTTCCACAATTCACCCGATTAGGCTTAAAAGTTACTATCTCGGTCTTCTATAAACTGACGAGAAAGTTTTTTCACAAGGAATAAATTGTATGTTCGGATACGCTTCTACATACAACCTCCGAGCTCCCCGAGAAATTCCATCGGCCTTACCATACATAAAATGGATATTGGTATACTCTTCGAATGAATCGACCATATTGAGAGATTTAATAGCAATTTGAATTCAGAAATAGGTTACAAGTGTAAAAATTGTAACGTGAAAGAATACTACTGATATTTAGAAAAAAGATTTTTCAGTATTTTTACTTATGCAGAAAATCGTTTAATGTAATTTTTCTTGGAAATGACTGGTTTTAGACAATTTTTTAAATAGTACCTTTTTTATGTATTTTTTTCAGCAGAATTGATTGATGCAATTTTGTGAGCATGTAGCTTAATTGTATTTAATTAATAAAATTTAAACTGAAACATTTAAACAAACTATAATATTGATTATTAAATAAACTAAAGAAAATCTAGAATAAATATAGATTGGATTCATATCTTATCAGAAAAGACGTCAAAAATATTATCCGTATTTCATTTCTTGTCTTATGTCACACCAGAATTTAGAAATAACGATATTAAATAAACATTAAAACAGAAAAAAATATTAATAATAAATGTAGTTATTGTTATTTATTATGTTTTTGCAAATTTTAAAACGATCAGCGACATCTCTTATTGATTAATTAAAATTGAAATATTTAAAAATTATTGTTATAAAAAACTATAACATTTTTAAATAAACTAAATACCATCTTAAACAAAGATTATTTTAATCTTTATTTGTAATAATTCGACCAATTTCAATAAATAATTTCTAATCTTATCATTAAACACGTCAAAAATTTTATCGTAGTTCTATTTCTCGGCTAACTTCACGTCGTAAGGTAATAAGATAAATAAAGACACTAAAATAGAGAATGTCAAAAATCTAAGAAAGAAAAAAGATACTATAACAACACGTTAAAAACCCCCCAGAAGAAACTTTATCATAATTACACTACAAAGTGAATCATAATACATAAACAACTTAAAATTACCCAACAACGAAATTGTCAAATTATGTTGCTAATAAAAAACGATTATTTGATTAATTCAACAACGAGAATATTAATCATCTGAATAGATCAAGTCTTGAAGAGTGAATAAAATTTTTGTGATGATCATGGAAGTTAAAGTGGATTCGAAGATATGTGGTGTATGCGGTGATAAAGCTTTAGGTTATAATTTTAATGCGATTACTTGTGAAAGTTGTAAAGCGTTTTTTAGAAGGAATGCTTTGGCTAATAAAGATTTGAGGTGCCCGTTTAATCAACAATGTGAAATTAACACAGTAACCAGAAGATTTTGTCAACGATGTCGATTAGAAAAATGTTTTACAATTGGAATGAGAAAAGATTATATAATGTCCGAGCAAGAAAAAGTGTTAAAGCGTCAAAAAATCCAAGAAAACAAAGCAAAAAAGCGATCAAATCCTTCCAATGGGTTTAAACAGGGGTTTAAAAAGATTAAACGGGAAGGATCTACTGATGATGATTCACAAGAATATGATACAACATCCGATTATGGTGATATTTATAGCCCCAATGATACAAATAATTTAATTTCAATCGATAAAATTGATTCAAATACGGATAATATTTCTAATAATACATCGATTATTGATGAATCTATGATAAGGCACATGTTAAACCCAACCCCAAATAGTAGTTTAAGTCCTGATGAGTCTTTAAGCCCTGTTAATAACAATGAAACTAATTGTAACAATAACTCAAAAAATGTACAAAAAGATGATGGTCGAACACCTAAAGATATTTTAGAAGATGTACAAAGTATTCCTATAGAAGCTAATTCTATTGAATCAATACTTTGTGAAGCTATTAAACTAGAATATGAAGCTTATTCTTCTATAGCACAGTATCAAGGAAATTCTAGGGAGCTTAATGATGCTGAAAGAGCCAAGCTAAACGAACTTATTGTTGCTAATAAAGCTTTATTAACACCTGTTGATGATGATATCTCTACTTTAATTGCTGAAGAATGTAGATTTAAAGTAAGTTTATAAATAAAATTGATGTTTTATGGAGTGTATTGAAGGATGTGTGATGATTGGTCTTCATTGTCATGTTATTTGTAACAACTAAATTAGAGAGAGAACTTTGAATGCACAATTATGTCATTGTAAAGTTAAAATTGTTTATAAAAGTCATACAGTGTGTTAATTAATTATTATACCCGACAAAGTATGCAAACAATATCACATTGTTGATTGGTATTGCAACGCGACGAAAGTTCCTAAAAACGACTCATTAACTTTAAAAGCCGTTTAAAATATATTTAGATATATTATATTTTAATAATTAAAAAAATATTTTAAATATAAAAAAAGATCCTTTTATTTAAAATAATTTTTAGTGCACCCATAGATTGAAATTAATGTTGAAAGTAGTGGTTATTTTGATTTGTTTATTGACTTACTGCTTAAAGCAACCGCTAGAAACAACGATAGTTCTAAAAAGTTTCGAAAAATATAAAGACGGCAAAAAACGATTAAAGAACAAAGAAAATACAGAAACTAACAAAGCGCACGACAATCACAACAATAACATTCAATCAGCTGTCAACATCTGGTTACTAATTTAAAATTATCCAAACTACCACTACATATTGAGATATGCAGCCAATATTACACAGGTCACGTGGGTTACGATAATTAATTAACACAGTGTATATCCATGTATAGGTGTTTTTAAATTGATGCAAAAGATTTCAAGGGATGATTTTTCAGCAAAAATTAAGGGGGTCTTTCATATAATTTTTTGTTCAAAATGCCTTCCCCACCGAATTACAGCCCTCTAAAGTGTATGGGGGAATTTAGAAGAATGAAATTTGGTAGATAACTATTAGTATAATAAAATGACACTTTTTGACGATTTTTGTAATACTAAAATGTTTTTACAAGGTAAAAAAATCCACCCCTATAATACTTTGCATCAGAACTTTTTAATGCGTCTACATTTTTCTATTTAAAATATATATTTTAGGGATTCAATACGCAACTTTATGTCTGTTCACATTTTCCCCTAAAATCGTTAGTTTGTCCATAACAAAATAATACTCAGATCTATTTGGCATAAATTTAGGTTGATTATTTATTTTAAAATATCAAGTAAGCTGGGGTCATAATGACAAATATCATTGTTGTGATTTTGTCCGTGTTATTTTTCTATCTCTTGCGAACTAAAAACAATTATTAAGGCAACTCTACAGTAAGCAATTTTTCTTGCACGAAGTTATTGCGGCAATATCTAGCGCGATTGGCAACTTTTAACTACAATATTTCAGTTGGAATCAACGGTGCCAACACATATTTTTTGAAAGATTGAGGCACATGTACACAAACAAACCAACAAAACACGTTATGTCGTTATATTTTACAGTTGGAAACATAAAAGGTAACTAAAAAACGCACCATACTTTCAGCGCAAGTGCAAGAAATATATGTCCAAACCTATCATCTGCTAGTGCAAGAATACCAAAAAGAATGCGTCATTTGCGCATGCGTGAAAGATGAATTACTGCAATATTTCTTGTCGGCAATGACACTTGCTAACTGTAAAGTTAAGTAAATTCAATGGCAAACTATACAAATTTCGAAATGGCAGACATGCATTTTGTATATAGTCGTGCTAATGGAAATGGGTTAGAAGCTCGAAGGCTTTACGCTGAGTTATATCTAGAACGTATCACCATCACAGTCTATTTGCGCGTATACATCAACGTCTTCGAGAAGATGGACATTTTTCAAGAAGAACTGCCGATTGCGGACGTTCACGAGAAGTACAAACTGTAGCACTAGAGGAAGAAGTTCTTGATTTAATTGAGAACTCTACCGGAAGTAGTACAAGAAAAATAGCTCAAGAATTAAACGTAAGCTATTCCAGCGTACTTAGGATTTTAAAAAAACAACTGTTGTATCCTCATGCGCTCTTATCGCGGGGTTTTTTACCTCGTTTAATTTTTTGCCAATGGATTCTTCAAACACTGCAGTTTTTATGTCGTATATTGTTTACTGATGAGGCGTATTTCTCAAAAGAATCCATAACAATCACATATGGAATGGCGAAAATCCACATATAATTATTGAATCCAAGTTGAAACCCCAATTTTCATTAAATGTGTGGCTTGGTGTCATTAACAGTGATTGAATTGGACCATATTTTCTTCTAATGAGATTACATGGATACGCATACTGTCATTTCCTCGAAGAGGAGTTGCCCCAGCTTTTCGATGATGTTTCGATACAAATCAGGCGAGAATTATGACTCATGCATGATGGCATGCCAGCACATTTTAGTATTAAGGCTTGTCGCTACTCAGACGAAGCTTATACAAATCGTTGGATAGGCTGCGGTGGTCCTCAAAATTGGCCAGCCAGATCTCCAGAATTAAATTGTTTAGGGGCGGCATTTTCAACATTTATTATGACTTATTATTGATATTTTGTTATCGTTATTTGTTTTTGTAGTTTTGTTAATTGTTATTAGTGCAACAATTATTATTGTGATACTTCTTAATTTACATATTTTTTCAATTAAATAGTAAATACCATTCTTTCAATAAGACCTCATTCAGTTATCCAAAATGTTTTCAGTCTATTCGTATAAAACTCTAGAAATTTTAATAATTAGTCTGAATTTATGCCATATTATTTTTTTTTGTGATCAAACTAACAATTTTATGAGGAAATGTCAAAAGACAATAAAGTTGGAAATTGAAATCAATTTAGAAACAGCCTGTATAAATCCACATATTCTATCTGACTGTATTCTATCCATACAGTCTGTATAATAATACTGCTTCCGAAGAATTTCAGCGACATTCACCGTAAATTAATCGTATTTAGATATTATTTAGAAAATTTTAGCTGTTAATTTTTAACATACACAAAGTTACTCCATAAAGTAATAAAAAAAAGACACAACCTCTCCCTCACCTCCAACTATGCCTCATTCTGGACCCCATTTTCTCCAGGTACCTTTCCCTTCTTCAATCCCCCCAGTACTGCATCCACCTCCTCCTCTGTTATCTCATCTCCCCGTTGTTCTCGATATATAATATAATAGTGTTAAACGTCGCCAGATCTATTTTATGATATCTTTTGTTATCTAACTTTTCTGTTTTTCTTTTTTCCAACTTCTTTCATGTTGCTTTACTTGGACGAAGACTATTTAGTGAAATTTTTCGAATCTTTTTGGTACTTTTTACAATTTTCAAACACGAACACAGCGAAGCAACTGGTTGCTAAAATCGAATTAGTTTTTTTGATGAAATTCTTAGACATCTACTAAGAGTGTCTAACATCAATGCATTATATTCTTATAGGTCTTTCAAAACAGTCGGGCTTCTTTGAATCGCACAGTTAATGCACAAATTGAGTGCAGAAGTGTATTCAACCTTCAAAGTCCACTATGAGAAAATTATTGTCAACTAACCTCGACTTTAATCTGATGGAATTGATTTGGCAGAAAATTGACCAATTCAAACTTATTTGAATAACTGGTGTTTCAAAAAATACATGTGCTATTACAACTTATGCTATTGCTAACTTTTCTTATGCGGTATTTTTTATTATCATAAAACATTTTAAGTGAGAGAGACAATTTTCATAATCTGCAAGATTCTGTGAACTGATGAGTAATGTGACATGATTAAAGTTTGACTGAAGAAATATATCTCTGTGGAACGAATATAAATAATTTATATAAACCTCTCAGTATCCCTCCGAGTGATAATTAACTTTACATTGAGAGATAAGGGTACAAGGTAGGACTTGACTTTTCGTATTTTTAATTCATGTGGAGCCATTTCGTTTAAAGAAGTCATTGTTTATACCCTGATCGATCCCACCCCGTAACCTTTGTATCTAAATTTAGAAATGTATTTATACACTGGGATAATAGCAAATACAAATAAATTTCGCATACAATTTTGTGGTGACCTTCGATTGTAATTATGCGAAACTAAGTTTTTTTGCGACTTCAATATTAGCCATCTTAAAGTGATTCTAATATAACCCCGCACAACTATCACCGTCGCTACAATGTGTTAGATAATAGTCAAGAAAAATGATTGTTGTGGGCTGTTTCGGTGTAAACCAATAGCTTCAAATGTGTTTTCACATCTATTGAGATTATTACGTTCCACAAATCACCGAAATTGCTTTTTAACCATGTGGTGATAACGCTGGAAATGTAGAAAGTTCTCCAGAATCAAATATACTATACAACTTGTTATTTAAAAATGGAGATAATCTGCAGTATTTACCATATTTTCAAAGAAAATCATATTTGATGGTTATTAATATACAACCTTTGAAGACGACCTCTTCTACCTTGTTCAATATACACTTGCAAAACTCAGAAAAATAGGCACATTTAATTGAGCGTCTAGGAGTAATCCAGGTTATCCAATAACTTGTTAGACTTGTTGATCTTGACTTGTGGTGTCGGATATACCTTCAATAATGATGTCTCTGCCAAAAAGTTCTGAAAAAAAGAATGCCAATGATATTTGAGTTGTGCAGCATGAACGTTATCAATGCAAAAACCTAAATAAAAGTTATTTAACATATTCAATTCAAATTCATTATAATATACTATATATCATTATATTTTATCATCAAAATTAATTCACCCAAATCTAAAATAATACATTAATGTTTAATATAACCTTAATTTTGTGATTTAGGGTCGTCCAGATGCAATATTGGCGAATCCCGCATTAGTAGATATAATAAATTTAACAGCAGTAGCAATTCGTCGATTAATAAAAATGGCAAAGAAAATAAATGCCTTTAAAAATATGTGCCAAGAAGATCAAGTGGCTTTATTAAAAGCCGGATGTACTGAAATGTTAATGTTGAGGAGTTTGATGATTTACGACGATACAAAACAAACTTGGAGGGTAAAAAAACTAAAAATAAGAAACTTAATCATGAAGTTTTAATTGGGATGTTTCATATTGCTAGATACCTCACCGAAAGGAATATTTAAGTAGTTTGAAAGCGGATGTTTTAAAAGAGGTTAAGGGGAATTTTTTTAAAGAACACGAAAGGTTCATACAAACTTTCGATCCGAAGTGGAGATCGGACGAGAATATCGTTCTTATTTTGTGCGCTATTGCGTTATTTACTCCAGATAGGCCAGGTGTAATTCATCAGGATGTGATAAAATTGGAACAGGTAAGAATAAAAATGTAATTGTAAAAACAAGTGGTAATTTAATAAATAAAAATTTGTAGATATAAAAAATTATCTTTTATCGTTAATTTGAACAGGTGTATTTCAAGGAGGTTCAATGTATGTTAGATTGAACCGAATATGTTACTGATAAATACATTTTCTAATTTATACACTAATATGATTTTTATTTGATTACAGAATTCCTATTATTACCTTTTAAGAAGATATCTAGAAAGTACATTTCCGGGTTGTGAAGCAAAATCGACGTTTTTGAAACTAATACAAAAAATATCTGAACTTCATAAATTAAATGAAGAGGTTGTTAGTTGTTATTTAAATGTAAATCCTTCTGAAGTTGAACCGTTGCTCATTGAAATATTTGATTTAAAACATTAAAAATGAAGGCAAAAATTAAATTCGATTAAAACCTATGCCAATTTCTTGTTGTTAATTTTAATTACGGTGCAATTTTATTAATTCTTGGCCAATTTTAAGATAATTTTTTATGTAAATACATTTTAGTTCTTCCTATTTACTATTATGAATATTAAAAAAGTATTTTTCGTAAATAAATATGTATATTTTATGTTTCAAATTGCGAAGTTTGACTTTTACCACTTTTTCCCGAGATCGATCCTAATCGCTTTTTCCCGCCATGAACATCTTTTCTCCCCAAAATGGGGCTAGATCCGCTACTTATATTTCGTATCAAATTCTTTAAACTTTTCGCTTGATTTTCAACCGCATTGTTTTCTTGTGCTATTGTATAAAAATCATCGTAAATATCGTGGGATGGTGGAGCAACTTGACACGGAGCGACAGCTTCGGGGCCTTTATCAATTAAAAGAGCTAAAGTTTTTTTTAATGAATCGTTTTTAGCTTCTAATTTATTTATTTTATTTGCGTCTTCTTCGAAACTCATTAAAGTCGGTGTTGGCATATACTGAAAAATAAGTATTAATATTTTAATTTATAAAAAATTAAGGTATAATTCAAGAATCACTATGTCGATTAAAAATCGACATTTTTTTTTAATCGTCGGCAAAAAATCTCTTGTAAGCCGTTACAAATAAAAAAAAAGTGTAAAACTTTTGTGACGTCATCGACCGTGCTAACCATATACACTAGATTCCGCTTAATCGGACCACATCTGTTCGAACGCAGTTTGGTCCGGATAAGCGGGTGGCCCTTTTATACATACTATACGTAAAATGTTGGATTTACATGAAATTATAAATAAGTGCACAAATTGATAAGTAATTAGTATTACCAGTTGAATATTCTTATAATAATAACTTTATTTATTAAAATATAAACGAAGGTAACATTCTTTTGCACAATAACAAAACACGTAGAAATAAGAAATAAAATTAATAAAACAAGAAATATTATTGCAGTCTAGTAAAATGTTACTGGTCTAATTTCCTATATTCGTCTAGAAATTGTTTGACGAATAGATTTTGAAGCATTTTTGTAGATAAAGTAATACGACTTTCCTGACAGCCATCTTACAGTAAATACCGCCGCAATTTACTGACACAATATTTTGCCTCTTTATGAGTGACTGGATGGAGTTCCATATCATCTGTCTCCTTGTCTGTTTCTTCAACGACTACTAAAACTGACTTATCTGCGAATTCTCTAATAATCTCGTCTTCATAATTACCGATTGACACATTTCAGCGTATCGTCAATATTAGTAAACTCTTCAAAGTTTTCAATTTTATGTAAATTTCCAAGATCGTCACTGTCAGAAATTTTATCACCTTCTCGAGTGTCATCGTTATTGTCAGAATACAATTTAAATCCGCAATCGCCAAAGAAGTTACGTATTGTATCGCTCTTGACTTCTTTCCAATTGTCAGCTATAAAGTGAATAGCCTGGAAAATATTTACTTTGCACTTACTTCTGTTGCGGTTAAGGATAACGATAATATGTTTTCCTCTATCTTGTCGGTTATGTAGTTTGTTAATTTTTTACGGTACAATATTGTAAGATTCTTAATAACTCCCATATCCAAAGGCGCGTTATTGCCGTCGTCGTATTAGGTGATAAGAACTGAATTCTTGTTTTGTGGATTATTCACTGGAGGGTGTGCTGCGGAATTATCGACCATTAAAATTATTTTTCTTGATGTTTTCGTCAATTCTTTATCCCAAGTTTCTAGGTAACACTAAAAAATGTTCGCTATCATCCATGCATTTCGGTTGGATTCATATTGCACAGGTAACGAATCCATCCTTAATCCTTTAAAGCAACGCGGCTTTGCTGCCGTTATAGATGTTATCCGGTTCATATAATCTTAAGATGCTTGGTAAATCTTCTTTCCGTTTTTTGCCGCTTCTGGTAGCCTTTTAGCAAAATTGTCTGCTTTTTGTCTGACACTTTGACTAGTAATCGTTACGAACCATCGGTTAAGCACCATCGTCTAGTCAGGATTTTTGCCTCCACGCTTTCGTTTTCGCGAGGAATTTTTATTTGTATTTTCCCATTCATCAGTAATCTTATTTCTTTCCTTCATCAATCGTAAAAGAGTTGTTTTTGGCACTTCAGTTATCTGAGCCAACTGTCGTTGGCTGATATTAGGCGGTTGATTTTTAATTTTATTTAATATTTGTATTTTTAGTGCTAATGTAAGGTCTCGGCGTATGCATTGTTTTTCTGAAGTTGACAAAAACGAAGACCTCCAATGCTTAGTCCTATTGTCTTCCATCCACGCAAATTATATACCTTCTACGTCCCGGTTAGATCTCTCCACACTCCCTTGACTTTGCGAGTGTCTAGGTTTGCCATGGACTATTGGTAGCTCGGGTCACACTTCCCTTAACTCTTCAACTAGCCAATTAGCAAACTCTCGTCCGTTGTCCGACTGTAACACGCTGGGAGTTCCCAAAATACAAAAAACATCCAATAATGTATGAGCCACTTTCTCTGATGTCTTCGTCTTCAATGGACGTAAAATTATAAGCTTAGTTAGATGATCCTGGTAGTTAAAAATATATCGGAAATCACCATCACGACAAGTCTGCATATCTATGAGATCGACCTTACCTCGGGAATTCACTTCTTTAAATAACAGGGGTTTAACTGTTAATCCTTTTTTAGGTTGGTTCCTTTTTTCGTGGCATACTTGACAGAGCTCTAAATAGCAAATTATTGTTTCTCGTATTACGTTCGCATATTTATTGCCTAACGCTTTTATCATTCTATCTCTTCCACCGTGCCCACATTGACGATGAGCGTTGTGAATTACGTCAAAAAGATCGTCATTTGCAACAAAATATTTTACGTCAGTAATTTGATCAGAAACCGGAAGTATTAACTTTTTTTTATCACCTAAACGTAGCACATCGTAACGTTTAAGGCTTTCAATTAGAAATGAATTTGATGACTTGTTCATCAATTTTTCCATAAATTTAGATCTCAATTCTGTTTCGGCGTTTTGGTTTTTAAAAGGCACACAATCAGTTGCATTTATAGTACTTCTCATTTTGAAACTTTTAGCTCGAAGTACACTCAACCCCAGTAAGGCAATGACTAATCGTCGATAAGTTGAAACTTTCCTTGTCGTGCGCATCACTACCAAGGAAAGCACGTGAAACCCAAGTTTGCCTGACCCACTTTAAGCAAAGTCCGAAGTTAATTTACACTTGTCGGACTTTTCCAGAGCATCATTTGGCAAACCCCGAAATTAAAAGTTATTCCGAACTTGGTCAAAAATGCTCGGGCAATGTGCGAATTCTTAGTCAATCTGAGGTGTGCCGGCGTCACGGAGATTGCCGGTAACAAATGTAAACGGGTGGTCCGTTTATTCAGTGGTCCAATATAGCGGCATCTACTGTATTTTCGCAGCAGATTTGGTTAAAACGCATATTTTCGGGTGAAATACGGTTGTTTCTTAGGTTTTCGACGCACAACGACTAAAATGTCGTTGTTTACCATCTATAAACTAAAGATAACCTAAAATCTATACCTGATGTAATAATAATAATAATAAGTTTATGCGATGAATGGGGAATATGAGTAACGTATCAGACTGTGCTCTAGTAGGCAGAGCGCGAGACGATATGAAATGAAAGTTCGTGTACAAGTATCCTGGGGTCCGAGAAGAAAGAATGATCTGCGCTTTTCGACAGTCAACATTTGAAGGTGATTACGATATTGCGTAACATGGTCGTACTTACCCAGGTCAAAAATAAAGCGTAGACAGTTGTTCTGCAATCTTTCTAATTTGTTACGGAGGGTAATTGCCAGGTCGGGATACACAGCATCAGCATAATCTATGTGGGGCAGTATTAATGAGTAACAGAGATTACGACGGACAGCAAGGGGAAGAAAACAACCAAGTTTACGCAAAGAATGAAAACAAAAATAGACCTTCCTACAAACAGACTGAATCTGATACCGCCAAGACAGCGCTGAGTCCATTGTCACCCCCAAGTTTTTGACCGTATTGGTGAAATGTATAACATTGTCACCGAGTATCAGTTGCGTATCATTGGAAGAGTAAAATTTTGCAAGTAAAGGTTTTGAGCCGAATGCTATAGCTTGCGTCTTGGCAATATTTAAACTCAGGCCAAAACATTTAGACCAGTCAAGTATCCTGGACAGATCATCATTAAGCCGCGCCATGGATACCGGGAGCTCATTCACAGTTGTTGATGTATAGATTTGAAGATCATCCGCATATAAATGATAGTTGCATGAAATGAATTTGGTAACACTGTTTATAAAAATTGAAAAGAGTAATGGACCCAATACACTTCCCTGAGGCACACCACTATGACTTTGAAACACAGAAGAAGAAGATGAAGTGTCACGCACACAAAAGGAACGTTGAGAAAGGTATGATCTAAACCAAGTAACGCACTCAGGGGCAAAGCCCATAGCAGACAGAGACGACACCAGTAAGCTATGATCCACAGCATCAAATGCTTTGCTGAAGTCCAGCAAAACTAACAAGGTTATTCGTCGATCGTCACAGCTACGCTTAATATCATCAGTAACCTTGATGAGTGCCGATGTGGTACTGTGGCCCGGTCGGAAACCAGATTGATAGTCTGTAAGTAGTTTATGCTCATCAAGGTAATCCTGCACTTGATTGTACACCAAGCGTTCAAGTGCCTTAGATAATACGGAAAGTATCGATATTGGCCGAAAATCACTCAGGCGAGTAGGGCACTTAATCTTAGGAATGGGAACAACGCAGGCCTGTTTCCAAATTGTAGGAAAGGTCGAAGACTCTATGGAGAAATTAAAGATATGAAGCAATGGTGGAGTAATTACGTCCAAGATGGGAAGGAGTTGCCTAACACTAACATCGTCAGCACCGACACTTGTAGAGCGCGTTTTTGCAAGAGCGTCCCGAACCTGAGACTCCTCAAACATGGTGAAAGAAAACCGAGAATTGACGAGAGCAGAACCACTGATAGTGAGCAATGTTGACTTCTTGATTGACTCGTCGAGAGTAGTGGGCGAATTAGCAAAATAAGCACCTAAAGAATTACAATCAAAGCTATGGCAGGAAGGAGTTTCAATTACGCCAAGAGAACGCATGGTCTTCCAAAACGTTTTCGGTGTTGTATAAGATAACTTCTGATAAATGTAAGTTTTTTTGGCATTTCGGCAGCGGTGGTTACAGAGGTTCCGTAGAACGCGGTAGTTTTCTCTATTAATATTGGAAGCATTTCGGCGAAGAAGGACCTTAGCCACGTTGCGCTTACGCATAAGATCTCTGATCTCGTTATTGAGCCACGGAGCAGGCGAACGCCTCGTTTTTCGCAATTTTAAAGGTGCATGACGATCGTATAAGTTTTTCATTTCTGTATTAAAAAAATCGACTTTTGCGTCAATATCTGACATGTAGTATAAAGGCAACCAATCGATCGCAGATGCATCAGACACCAAGGTTTCGTAGTTGATTTGGGCGTAGTCACGAGTAGATATGGTGCGACTTGGGTACAGTTGACGTCCGACCTGAAGCGCGCAGTAAATAAGGTCGTGATTAGAAAATTGCGGAGCTGGTAATTGACCATAAGAAAGTATCCTATCTGGGCAAGATGTCACAATAAGGTCCAAAAGGGAATCCGACGCTGGAAGGTGATGAGTAGGTTGAGTAGGCAGAATCGAGAGATTTAGGGAGGAGGTAATAAAGTGAAGTCTTTCACAACGCAAGTCGTCCCTCAAAAGGCATGTGTTGAAATCACCCATAAAGACGATACTATCGTAGTTATTGGTCTGTCTCTCGAGTACATCCTCGAACTGATCGAAGTAATTTATATTTGGTGGACAGTAAAACGTGCCCAAAAGAATGCGACTACCACTGATCTTAATTTCAATTAGCAAGTATTCAGCACCTTGCAGTGAGCCATCGGATCGTGCAATAATATTAGTATTTAAGTGATCACGAATATATAAAGCCACACCCCCACCGCGAGAGTCCACTCGATCGTTTCTTATAAGATGATAATTTGGAAAGGAGAAGAAAGCTGAGGGAAGATGTCCTACGCCAGTCCTTAAACGTTACATTCGGATCCACCTAATTTATTTCAGAATTTTGTGTAGAAATTCCACTATGAGTTAGGTTAATTAAGATTTAAACCAGTGCGAATTTCTCTAGTGTCGGGTTGGGAATGGAGCAATGGGTTGTAAATTCTGAGTTGGGTAGAAAGTTCTAGGTCTAACTTTAGTTCTAGTGACAGTGGTAGGTAGCGTTAGTTAGCATTAGATCACTGTGTTGCATTTTTTTATTGTAGTAAAACTAGAACTAGAAACATTCGGGATTAGCCGTCTTGAGAGAGACGTGGAGCTAAATTCGAACGTTTCTAGTTCTAGGGCTAGTATTAGTTCTAGTATTAACATGGAGTCTACTGACACACAGTCTATCTAACGACAGGTAGTCAGTAGTTACGCATCAAAAGCCAAAAAAAAAAACAAATGCATGGTTAACATTGCTTGTGCAGAAAGAGTTGAACATATACTGTGTAATTGCATCGCGAGAGGCTGTCTAAGACACAAAATTTTCAGTAAAGCTGTTTTGACACCTACCAACATAAAGATACAAGACCTTGGGGCAATACTAAGGGGCATTAAAGACCTACATTTGCCCTTAACTTTTGGAGGGCTAAAGTTACAATAGATCTTACAGGCCGCGGTAACGAGACATTCCTCGTGACGTCACAAAACGTGACGTCACATCGAAACTTTAATGTGATTTTTCGGTATGTTCTACACTTTTCCGCACTTTCTTTTTATTTTTAACGTGTTTTTTGGGTCATTTCACATTGATTAAAAAAAAAACGTCGATTTTTAAGCCACATGATGATTCTTGAATTTTCCCAAAAAAAATTAATTTGAGTACTTGAAAAACGGAAGCTAAAAAGTTATGTAAAGACACCAATAAAATATCTTGCCAATGTTTAGTAAAATAAAGTGAAAATGTTGGATTTTCCTCAGGATTTTTTATATATGGCAACACAAACCATTCTTTCCATTCTTCTCGACTTTGTAATTCACTAGTCATCTTGCTAAAGAACTCTGTAACCTTTTCTGGTTTATTATTAACAATGGTATTTACTAAATACATTTTAAGAACAGCGTTTTCCAGTTTCTTAACGCCTAAAAATATTAAAAAATTATTTTGATTATCTTAAAACAATAAAAAAAATTAACCTGGGATGAAATTGCTCTCCAATTTTGAGAACATATGATTATCTAAATGCACCCACAAATCCCTCAGCGAATTCAAATCATAATTATTAATTAAATGAACAATATGATCTGTTATTTTATCCACACGGAACCCCTTTTCTTTATCAGCCTTTAAATCATTATCAAAAGCTTTAACAGTCGCCGTAAAACCTCTATAGAGTAGATATTCCTTAATTAATTCATCCATATATTGTACATGAGCCATTCTTTTTCGAAAAATTCCTTTATAATCGAATTTGTTTTGATGTAACCTAAAAAATAATTTACTTTAATCTGACAGTAAAACGTCAAAAATCAATACTGCCATCTATTGGTCTTATAATAAAAAATTAAATGGTTATCATTTTATGCAATTTATAAAAAGATTAAAATAAAAAGGTAAAATAAAATTAAGATAAAGACATACCTAAATTATTTTTATTAAAAACTAAAAGTTAAAGAAAGTCTTTAAACAATAAATTATAATACTGCAAAAAAAATCAAACTGGTTGCCTAACTCTCAAAATGTTGCAATTTAAATTTTGAAAATGTTTAAAATAATTCGCTGTTTTCATTAAAATATATAAATAAAATACAATATTTTAATTAAATAACCACTATAATTTATGATCGAATAATACATGAATTAATTTAAAACATAAATGCTTGCCACAGTAATCTACTTATAACTATCAAAAAAATAATTAATACGTGATTCCGTTCATTTTCGTTCGGCATTTAAGTAAAAAAATCAGTTCTTCTGTCTACATGATCTCACTCACTCGTTTATATAAAGGAAAATTGGATCGACACTTATACATCTTTTAATAATACACTTTGGATGTCGTGCGTTTTTTTAAAAAAAGCAAACCATTTTATTATTTCATATATTACAAGAAAATCCGAACTTTTAAAATAAACATTTTGTACTCTTTTTTTCTTTTTTTTAATACAACTATAACAAGTTCATTAAAATCTTTTACACCTTAATCGTTTTTCCTTTTTGTTTAAATTAAAATAAATCGTAAAATTAGACACCCAAAGTCATGTCAACATACTTTACGCTACCATCATCAAGCGTCAAATATATTCTGTATGAAGGGTTTAAAAATTATAAAGAAGGGAAAAAAGGAATAGAGAGTGAGAGAAAGAGAGACTTTCTAATACTAAGTCGTCATTAAATATTTTTTTCGCCTGTGAGAAGATAATACACACTGAAACGCTACTTATTTTTTTTTAATAGCGATTTTTTAGCATGCAATTGGATTTTTTTTCATTTTTCTTATAATCATCTTCAAATTAAAAGATCACACATAGATATTTTTCATTACGATGAAAAAATAATATAATAATCAATAACACAAACTAATAAAAAAATCATCTTTGTCTATTGTGTTTGTTTCTTCATAAAGGATTGCACTATTCAACTCCCCACTTATTTTCAATTAACTTTTCAATGCCCCGTATAATATGGTGCTGCTGGTGGTGGTGCAGACCCTGCATGAGGGGCAACATACCCATATTCATACCCCGGACCCGGTGGAGGCGGTGGCGGACCTCCAGGTGGTGGAGCTCCCACATACATACCTTGTGGTGGTGGCGGAGGATACTGTTGTGGCGGATATGGCGGATAACCAGCATAAACCGGCGGAGGTGGTCCTTGAGGATGTGGTGGGGGAGGTTGATATTCATAAGGACCTTGTGGATAACCCTGGGGAGGTGGGGGATAACCTTGAGGTGGGTACATCGCGTAATTGTACTGCGGTTGTTGGTAACCCATCATTTCATATGGCTGGGGTGGATATCCAGGATAACCTTGAGGTGGTGGAGGGTATGGGACATGACCTCCATGGGCATAACCGTAATAATTATAGCCATAATCAGGAGTTGGAATGTCGGATTTCGAGGTTGTTTCACCAGTTGATGTCGATGTCGGTTCATTTTCCGGGTATGTAACATCGTCTACGGGGATTACTTCCGGTTCAGAGGATGATGATATGCTTTGTGTCGATTGGTTCGTTGCGGAATGTGAAGGTTCTGGATGTTTATCGTCTTCCGTGTATGTACTTGTTATCGTATCTAAAGACTCCTAAAAAATAATACACAAATAATATAATTATTAAGCAATTTTTTGTATTTATGTATTAATATGGAAGATCACTTTTACAGCAAGCGTATAAAGTGATATAAAATGCGATTGTATATGAACCAGGTAAGGTTACATATTTAATGGAGAACTTTAGATTGAAATCGCGGCATCTGTAAGATGTTTAATTCGCTGGTGATGCCCCATAACTGATTTTCGTATTCTCAAATAAGTTTCAGTATGGCGTTATATTTCAGTAAAAAATTTGACACCCAAAATAAAAAAATTTTGATTCTCTGCTTAAAGAAGCAGACTTATAAAAGTTGAAAACTGAAACTCCTGAAATGCGCTGGAGATCATCTCACCGTGAAATGTGCGAGAGATGACAACAAAATGTTACAATTCTTGGAAAAAGCATCCTGCCAGCTATAAAGGCTACAAAGAAGAAGTCGAAATAAGAAAAATCAAAATAATTCTCAATGCCCAGAGCGTCAAAATACAATAAGATCCAGGAGATCACAACAGAAATGCGCAGAAGGTCACAAGTTCTCAATCCTATCCGTACATAGCAAAAATAAAACCAACTTCTAAGTCGAAAACGGTACAACGAGAACTATGCGAAGGAAAGGGTAGTCAAAATATAAGATATTTATCAAACACTACGGTTGATCTTAGAAAAGCCAAACAAACAAGAAAAGTTAATGAAGACAATATTATTATTAGACTTGATAAGATAGACTCCGCAAATAGAAAAGGTCTAAGCAAGAAAACATATGGTCAATAGACTTTGTGTCATGACTTGGAATGCCAATTGGGTTGCTATAGCATACACTACATGCTATTAATAAACCATAAAATTTATATATGTCTCATTTCACAAAGGAAAGCTATTTGCAACTACGACACTACGCTGGATATAACGCCATATATCTCAAAAATAGAGAAACGGGAGGAAGTGTGGTACAAATTAATAGAGCACTTCACATTACGAAGACAAAAAAGATAGAAAAAGACGAATATCTGGTTTCATTGGCCAAAGTTAAAACTAATAATGAGCCAATAGTAATAGAGTTCAAATTATTTCAAAGTTACTCCACAACCTGGATGTAATTGACTTTTTCATCTCAAGAAACTTATTGTCTAGTTTTATCAATGGATACGTTCAGCAGGTGTTCAGCACGTTCAACAGTTGAATTAAATCACTCAGCTAGTTGTATGAGCTTTAATACAGCGGAACGAAATCGGCTGAACAAGCAATTAAGAATTAGCGGTTCTGCATAACCTAAAACTATGCCCAATAATAATATTTTTGAAAATATTGTGCTATTACAAGAGATAGTGGATGATGCGTTTCTGCATTAACAATATTTATTTTTATACAGTTTGGTCAGTTTTCAAAATTAAAGGCGAGAAACAAAAAATGTTAATCCTAACTTAATCCTTACTTAGCGTATCGTTCAGCCGCGACTGCTAATATAGCAAGTTGACAGTTGACACCGGCTGAACGTGCCCAATGTTACAGGGGAGTTTGAGCGAGATTCTTACCATTATAAATAGAACAACAAGAATATATAACATTAACAATTTATTCAAGTCGAACAGGCTTAGGAGCAGAAATCATTCAAGGAGGCAAACCAATGGCAACGATATATGCAGATAGAAAAGTAGTTGTTAGCAATAGTTTTAGCATGTGAATAGTTTAAGTTTAGGCAGTATTTTCTAAGTAGAGTAAGTTCTAAGAAGTTTCTAAGTGAATAACATCAGTGATGCTGAAATTACAACCATGAAATATACACCAGATTATATTGTAGATACTTTATCTAGAGACTTAAACAAAAATATCAACAACGTTCAATTAATTATTACCAAAAATATTACTTAAAGGAAATAAGGAACAAATAAACACACATAAACACAAGAATACATAGAGTACAATCTAATGACTAGAGAATATGTATATTTTAAGAAAAAATTGAAAATAAATTAATAAATACAGATCAAGATAGCAAAGATGATATCAAACCCTTTAAGGACCTTTAGGCCAAACCCGTATCTACACGCAATATTGGAGTGAAAGCATACGATTGCGTTCACATACTTTTATAGGTACACAGTTTCTCTCTCAGCATTGGTCATAATTTTGACAGCCCAAATTCAGGATGTAAGATCAATGTATTGCAAGGAGATCCTTTAGAAATTTTAGAACAAATTAATCACAAATACTTTTTTTGACATTACACTTGAAATGAGCTAATACAAGACTTATCTACATCATCATGCTCAGGTTCATAGCTCTTTGTGAATCTTAGCCTTCCTTAACAGTTTCTTCCAAACTTGTCCATCACGCGCCTGTCGTCTCCAATCCATAGCCAGCGTTCTTAGGTCGTCCTCCATATCACAGAAATAATATCACAGAAATAATAACCAGAAGTGAGACTGGCGCCAAATCTGACGCCATATTTTTGCGAGGAAGCATGGTATTGCTGCTATTGGTGGTAAATGAAGTTGTCTCCACAGAATAAGCAGAAAGGACACTGACGTCGATTCGTTTGATGTTGGCGACATCTCGTTTTATGACCTTGATTTAAAAATCCGCCATCTTATCGTGAGGATCCATATGCGCGATGAACCCACAATGAATAAGAGACACAACTTAATTTACCACCAATAGCAGCAATACCTTGCTTATTCGCAACAATATGGCGTCAGATTTGGCGGAATACCTCCAGTATTACTTCTGGTTATTGTGTTGTCTCTCTCATTCATTGTGCGTTCATCGCGCCTGTGGTTCCTCGCGATAAGATGGCGGATTTTAAAGCGAGGTCATATAGAAATAAGCACTTTCCTCTCGAATCTGCTTTGTGCCTCTTGGCCTTTCTGCTTTAAGATGCAGGTCGCTCGGTCGAGAGCAACTTATTGGAATACACCTACATTATATTTTAAACTCTATGGATGATTCTTTTCAGGTTGACTCCATTTATACTGACTTTAGTCGATCATGCTCTGCTTCTTTCAAAACTTCGTGTGTTTGATATTGACGAACATCTTGTGCATTGGTTTGTCTCCTATACACGTGGAAGGATTCTAAAGGTGAATATCAATGGTCATTTTTCGGACAGCATGATTGTTACTTCCTGTGTACCGCAAGGGAGTCACTTAGGACCTCTTCTATTTAATATTTATATCAATGATATTTTTTCACTAATTAAACACTCTCATTGCTTGATGTATGCTGATGATTTAAAACTTTTACACGAGTTTCTTCACCTTTGGATTGTTCGAGGCTACAGCGCGACATTGATGCGCTACGTATTTATTCCAACTCAAATTTCTTGACACTGAACCCTGAAAAATGTAATGTTATTTCTTTTACAAGGAAGGCAGGCACGATCAGATACGATTATAGCCTAGGTGATGATACCATACCTAGAGTGACTCAGATCAGGGATTTAGACGTCACATTTGATGTCAAACTACCGTTTGAGGGCCACGTTGATGGAGCTGTTGCTAAGGCTTGACGCATGCTTGGCTTCGTTATGAGAGTCACGCAAAATTTTACAAATATTTATGCTATAAGAACATTGTATTTTGCGTATGTGCATAGCGTTTTAAGCTTCTGCAGCTCCGTTTGGAATCCCCTATCAAACATATATATCCAGAATTGAAAGGATTCAACAGAAATTCCTAAAGTATTTATGTTTTAAAAGCAACATCGCTTATATTGATTACGTATCTGCCTGTGCCTCCTTCAACTTCTTATCGCTCCGTCAGCGTCGTTTATGTGGTGATGCTTTAACCTTCCATAAAATCATTAATGGTAGTATTGATTCTCCTAGCCTTCTTGAGGTCGTTACGTTTCGTGTTCCTCTCCGGTGTCTTTGGCTCGATTATTTATTTTACACGCCTACTTCACTTACGAATATCTTTCAGAACTCTTCCATATTGATATTATTAGCGCAGGAGTTGATGTCTTTTGCGACTCGCCACGCGCGTTTAAACGTTTGATAATTGCGGCGTGTAAAGCTGATTACAATAATTAGTTTATGTAAGTAAATTCTATATATTTTGATAGATATATTTTATTCTGTTGTTATCTTTCATCGCCTTGGGTTCGTCTTGGTTCCGTGCTCAACTGTATACATTAAATAAATAAACAAATAAATAAGATTCATTTATCCGACCAATAAGTACCAATAAGTACTGGTAGTATTAAGATCTTGTATAGGACTAATTTGTTTTTTTCTTGGTAGCTTGAAGATTTAGATGTGAAGATGTTTTTAAGCCTGTGGAAACATTTGTTGGCATGAATTATTCACTTCTTTACTTCCTTGCTAACCGAATTTTTATTATTCATCGGGGATGCCAAGTATACAAAACCATCTTCTCCAATTTCGTTTTCAACCTTGTAAAAGCTTCCTTCACCTCGTTTTCTGTTCTCCCTATAATACCTATGTCGTCGGCGAATCAAGATCCGCGTTGACTGCCTTCCCCAGGGTAATGTTAAAAGGAGTGGGCAGGCAGACATAACAGCCTATTTCCTTGTAGTAGACCGTCGTGGCTTTCCAGTATTCGTGATAGATCTCCTTGTGTTATCATTGCCACTAGATGAGGAGATATATTATTGAACAACGATATGTTTTTTGTTTTAATACATGTTTTCTAATCATATACTATTGCTAATTCAGTTAGTACCACAGGGCCAGAACCGAACAAACACGCATCGTCGTCGGTGCTGGTCCTTGAGGTACAGGTACCGAATTAAACTCTGTCCTGAAACGGTTAAGCTTCAGATTATATTACTTATTTTTTTAAAGAAGAAGGTTGTAGTGTATAGGTTAGACAGCAAAATGCATAGATAATAAGTTGTGATTATGTTGATGTCTCAAAACAACATAAGATATTAACCATCATGAACATGCCTATGAAAAGTTTATGTATTTATCGCCTATTAAAACTTTTAAATGATCACCATTACAATCTAGATACATTTTTCTTTACAAAATTTAAAAAAAATCTTACCTGAAACGTTTGTTTATTTTTAGCCATAATAGTACTAGCACATTGATCCAATCTTTCCAAAGCAGTACTAGCCTCCCTTTTTGATTTACCTCTGACATTTTTCGGTTTAATAGCAGTAGTAACAATAGGTGAAATAGTATCTTCATCAGTACTCATTTCTCGTCGTTCTAACGAACTATTCCTAGAGTTATGAGCGCTCTTCTTATTATCAAGGTTAAGTATATTATCTTTAGAAAAATTAAAGTGTCTTTTCTCATTGCCATGAAGAGTTCGCTCTTCGTCACTACTACTTGGATGCGATTCCGTTTCACTTTTTGCCTGCGTACTAGTCCTGGTTATTTCTTGACCAATGTTATATGGTTTAGTTTTTGCCGTTTGAACGCGTTTAGTAACCGTTTGCATTTTTGAAACTAAATTGGGGACGTTTTGTTTTATACTTTTTACACTTAATTTAGTTAAGTTGGGCGCGAAAGGCTTTACGATACGTTTTTGAGGTAATACTGAGATTGCGGTGTTATTTTTTATCATCGCTTTTGCTTTCGCTTGGTCTTCATCAACTTTTCCACGAACCTAAAAATGTTATAGTTTTAAAATTTGAAATAATGTATTAATTTTATTAATTTACTTTAATTGCTGTTTTAATGGCGACAATTTTTCCACTTTCGAGTTGCATATAAACCCCTTTAGGTGATTTCAAAACTAAAACTTTTTGTCCAGCTTTAAGAACAATGTTTCCTTTGTCGGGTTGATTTGTTGGAATAACAACGTCTAAAGGTAATGTCATTTCTTGTGCTGTCATCCCTTGCCTTTGCCAGTGCTCAGCTGGAATCCATCTAGTTGGACGCTCTCCACCTTGTTGCATTGGCCTAACAGAAGCAACCGGTCGATGTCCTCGCGAGACTCCGCCAACGTTATAAGAGGGTTGTCTAGCCGCTTGTTTTTCTCTTTCATATCCTTTTTTCGCCAACCTTTTTTCTTGTTGGGAAAGTTGCTTATCTTTACGATCAACCAATAAAGATTCATGTTGAAACGGTTCTTTGTTCAATCTTTTCCCGTGTTGAACGAGAACTTTTTGTAAAACAACATCAATATAATTATCTTTACAATGTGACCAATCCTTTTCTTCGCCTTCTTCTGTTTTATCGTCCCAACAAAGTGTGCTAACATCTTTAATAGTTAAATGAGCGTCTGGATTGCATTCGTCAACAACGCGATCGGACATTCCTAAATAAAATTGAATTTTTAGATTCTTTGTGTAATGATGGGGATTGAAGCAAGTTATATTACCTTGCTTGTTGATCTGGCGGTCGTAAATTTTCTTTTCAAGACAATTATCGACCACCAGACGATACACAAAACACGGTTTCCTTTGTCCATAACGATAGACTCTACAAACCGCTTGCGTATCATGGCAAGGATTCCAAGATGCGTCCAAGACAACGACGCGATTAGCACCAATTAAATTTATACCTAAAGAACCAGCTCTGGTTGATACTAAAAATAGATAAATTTTTGGATTCGAATTGAATTCATTGATTAGTTTTTCTCGTTCCAATGCACTTGTTGAACCATCCAAACCTTCAAAATAAAGAATAATTTTATTTATCAATAATTCTAACCAAGTCTTTTAGGTAATAGTATTGGTTATAACAGTACAAATCTACCCTAAAATCTAACCCAGTATTCCCTATTTTCATCTAATATCCTGAAAAATTATATTTTTCGCCACAATCCTTCGTCTCACGCCTTACCAACATCGTCTTACCCAATACAGAACCTTATATCCAACACTACTCCACAGACTTTCATTCAAAAATACTTACGATAATAATTAACATTTTTGGCCCAATTTAATGTATCTCCTGGAACAACATTCATCTGTAAAAACTGTTCAATCAAGTCTAAAGTAATTAAAGATTGACTAAAAACCAATAATCGATCACCGAGTGCAATACTTTCTTTGATAATACAAAAAAGTATTTCTAATTTAGCGGAATTTTCAATAATACCAGGAACATAATCTTTTAACAATTCGATAGCCCAATCGTATGGAATACCAGTATCTTCTTTAGTCGCCGTTTTAATTGCAGGTGTAGCTTCGACAATTTTAATATCATCGTCACTGGGTTCTTGTTTGATGTCGATCCCCTTTTCCGATTTAACTTCCTCTTTGATTTCATCGTTTTCCGTTTTCGGCTCCAATTTAATATCGCTTAAAATATTAATCTTTTTATTCATGTCGTACGCCGAATTTCCGCTTAATTTTATATCACTTATTATGTTTATTTTTGGTTTAATATCACCGGGTTCACTTTTAACAGGACTCGGACAAATGTTTGAAGACGGCGACTTTTCTTCCTTTTTCCATTGTTGATTTGGATAATTTTGATTAAACGGCGGCTTAAAGTTATAACTTTCATTTGGTTTGTTATAATTTTCGTTCGGTTTATATTCTTGATTCCAATAAGGTTGTTGTTGATTTTGATAGTTATCAAAGTTACCAGGTGGTTGAAATTGTTGGTTTTGATTGGGATAATTTGATGGGGGCTGACCTACTTCTTGTTTATATGGCGATTGAGGAACTTCTTGTTTATAATTTTGAGGAAATGTATTATCTTTACCACCAGAATTATTGTTACCTCCATTTGGATAGTTAGGATACTGATTCTGTTGATAATTTTGATATGGCGGTTGTTGATTTTGGTAAGGTTGTGATGAATACTCGGGATTTTGTTGTGGGTTTTGGTAAGAATTCGTAGAATTTGGTTGAAAACCTTTTGGTGGGCTCTCACTTGTATAATTTTGCGTCGAATTTCCGTGATATTGATTTTCATTATATTGGTTAGTTGTATATTCTCCTTGACCACTACCACTTTGATAAGTATTTGGAGGTGGATGTTGATAACCAGGAGTGTTATTTTGTTGATAGGGTTGATTTTGTGGTGCTTCTCTATTTGGATAAGGTGATTGTTGATCTTGGGGCAATGGATAAGTTGGATTCTCTTGATTCGGTCTAGTAGAATTATAATGGGGTGGTACATTTGGCGGATATGTTTGTGCTGGTTGAGGAGGATAGTTTTGAATAGTTTGGGGTGCATTTGAATTTGGAGGAATATTTGGAGGCGGCTGATTTAAATTTTGAGGTGGTACAATTTGAGTTGGATGATTTACATTTTGAGGAGGCGCAGAGCTCTGCACTTGATAATTCGCGTTTTGAGGATAACCAGATACATTATTATGTCCAGACGGAGCTTGAATTTGGTGTCCATTATTCGGAGGCATTCCATATCCAGGGTTTGTAGTAACTTCTGGTACACTTTGAGGTTGATTTTGGGGGTGCCCACCAACATTTTGAGTCTGATCTCTAATATTTTGAGGTGGCTCCCTTGCATTTTGAGGTGTTTGATGTCCATGATGTTGGTGACTTTGTGGTTGATTACTTTGAGGAGGCGGGTAATTTCCGAAATGTTGAGAATTTGGAACGTTCTGAACATTTTGGATTGCTTGCTGATGTCCTACATTTAGAGGATGCACTCCAGGGGCAGGATTTTGTCCAACACCTTGAGGGTATCCATCAACACTTGAAGGATGATACGGGGTGGTTGGTTGATTATGTTGATTATGTTGAGGTGGGTACCCAGGATTTGTTCCAGTTTGATGATGATCAGGATTATCTGAATGATGTTGAGGATATGGAGTTGAAGGATTGTGTGGTTGAGGATGTGGTAACGGTGGAGGAGGATGAGAGTTAGGTTGAGAATGTCCTGAATTTTGAGGATGTCCACTTTGTAAAGTATGTGGGTGTACACCAGCTTGAGAATGCACTGCATTTTGTGGATGTGTCCCACTTTGGGGATGCGCAATATTTTGAGAATGATTCCCTCCTTGAGGATGTCCAGTACTTTGAGAATGATTTCCTCCTTGAGAATGCCCACCATGTGGATGATTCATATTTTGTGAATGCGGATTAAGTCCCTCATAAGAAGAATTATGTTGGTGATGTCCATGTGGTGGAGTACCATGACTTTGAGGGGGAATATTATGAGTTTGTGATGGAACATTATGACCTTGAGGATTAATATTATGACCATTAGAAGGAACATTGAGATTTTGCGACGGTAAATTATGATTTGGCGGAGGTAAATTATGATTTTGTGGTGGTAAATTATGATTTTGCGGTGGTAAATTATGATTTTGTGGTGGTAAATTATGATTTTGTGGTGGTAAATTATGATTTTGCGGTGGTAAATTGTGATTTTGCGGTGGTAAGTTATTATTATTGGATGTTGCATATCCAGAATGTGGTTGTAAGGGCTGTTGTGACTCGTTATTTGGTGGACCAGGCTGCGAAGGTTTTCTTCCAACTGGATATCTACATGGTTCGTATAGAGTAGGATATTCTTGGGGGTTTTGATTATCATAAAAAGTAGCATGTTGATTTTGAAATCCCCCAGTATTTTGTTGGTGATTAAACTCATTTTCGGGGTTTCTAAATCCCTCTTGTTCATTTGGTGGATAAGAACTTTGAGTTGGAGTAAAATTTCCTTGTTGGTTCGCTGGGTAATTCTCTTGATGTTCAGGAAAAGAATTCTTTGGTGGTTGATTGTAATTTTGGGAATTTTGATTATATTGAGGTGTTGTTGGTTGTTGATTAAAGTTTGGAGGGTAATCATTTCCCTTATTAAAATTCGGTTTTTGATCAAAGTTATGGTTTGGACCCCCAGCAAACGGTTCAGTAGAATAATTTTGATTACCAGTGTTTGGTTGATAAGGATATATATTCGAGTCGCTTTGAGGTGTACCACTCGCTGGATATTGTGAAGATGGTGTACTTTGATTAGAATATGGATAACTCGGACTTTCACCCATGTTTTGACTTTGCGATTGATAACCTGAAGAGAAACTTTGATTTGAACCGTACCCAGAGCTGTTTGAGTACTCAAATTCCATTTTCACTGGATAATTTTGGTAGTTATTTTGTTCGGTTGGAGTTTGTGGCGTGGGTTGGGTTTGCGAAATATTGTTGTTAATATTGTTGTTATTGTTTTGGTTTTTTCCAGACGATTTTTTATTTTTGCCTCCAATATCAGAAGAATTATAAGGCGTAACCGACGCGGCTGGTTTTGCATTTTTCCCTTTTCCTGTACTTTTTTTTGATCCCTTTTTCGGTTTTGCTGTTGTCTCATTTGTTGTGGTCGAAGCTACTTCCTCTAAGTCAATATCCACCGTTTCTCCTCCAGCTTGTTTTTTTAAAAAGTAATACAACACATCTGGATGGTTCCAAATTTTACAACAAACCGCGAATGCTTTTAATGGATTTGGAACGGTTTGCGTTCGCACAACTTCGTTCATAAACGTTTCGTACAAAGTTCTTTGGAATGGTGTCATTCTAACCAACAAAACATACTCTTCTTTTTGTGGTAAAGCGGTTTGTAAAACGGTGTGAGATCGCCTTTGTACAAAACCAAGAAGTAACGAATGCAACACATGCGCCCGATATCGCATTAATTTTATATCAGCCTCTGTAGAATCTATACATTGTCCATTTTGAATGGGTCTCTCAAACATATTACAAAATTCCGTCTTTGTACCTAAATAGTTTGGTCGAACAAAATCAACCATACACCAATATTCCATTAAATTATTTTGTAGTGGATAACCAGTTAGAACCACTCTTCTTTTTGTACGCATTTGTTTTAAAGCTTGAGAGATGGAAGCATGCGAATTTTTTATTCGATGACCTTCGTCGCAAATCACCAAATCAGGTCCTGGTTTTACTAAAGCTTCATGAACCTCATCAAATAATAATTTACTTTTATCATCGTCTACGGGTTCAATAACTGGAACTTTCTTTCGACTTTTTGGATGTTTTCTTAACGACAACAATCGGTATTGTTCATAACCAATTAATAAAACACCCCCGCCGGCCTTCCATTCATGAATAACTTTAGCGCGTGCTGCCAAAGTTTTATGACTGTCATTTAAAACGTGCAAATTAAAATTTCTAGGCCGAACTTCTCCGTGAGCATTTAACGGACTGTTTGGAACAGCTTCCTCAGTTGGTAACCACATATTATATTCCGCCATCCAATTTTGTAACGTGTTAATCGGCATTATACATAAAATTGTTCTCGATTGTGTGTGTCGAAGAAATATATCGGAAAAACACACAATCTGTAACGTTTTCCCTAATCCCATCGAATGCGCTAAAATACACCCGAATCCCGTTGAACTTTCAAATCTATTTACACTTTCAATAACATTATCGAACAAAAATCGTACTCCGCCGATTTGATGAGGTTTTATAATTCTAGCGATTTGTGGCGCTACATACACGTCTTGTTCATCTTCAGCGTGACCAACATTCACAACAACACGACCTTGCTCGTCTGGTTGATTAAATTCGTCGTTTGTATGCAAACCAGAATTACTAGGATCTTCATCTGTGTCATCATTTGGGTCATTTTCTGATTCAGAAACAACTATACAATCGTCGTCTGATGAAATATCGATTGTCGTTACAGGATCTTTTGCTGAAAAATAAAATAGTTCCTAAATATTTATAATAATTAATTTTAGATTAAACGCCATAAATTACTTTGTTGTTAATAAAACAATTTTGATTAGTTGGCGTTTAATCTAAAGTCGTTGAAAAAAATCTTTTTAATTAAAGTATTTACGTTTTGGTTTTTGTAAAGATACCCTTGTACTCATCGCATCTTCACTATCACTGTCACTATCACTAAACCTTTGTTCAAGTTGCGGTGGACGTTTCATAACGGGCGCTATACTAACTGATGGCGTTAAATTTCCGGATGGTTTCTTAATTGCTATCAAATTTTTCGGACTTTTATGTGGTGGAACGGCGCTTTTCGGTACTTTAACCAACTCAAACGGTTTCTTGATTACTTTCGTCATCGTTTGGCCATTGGGCAACTTAACCAGCACCGTACTTCCGATGCGAGCTCCGGAAGTTCCTGCTTTCGGGACGTTTCCCTGCAACAACGATATGACGCGTTCTTGTTGAATTTGTCTCTGATAATCACGCAGGATCCGTTGTTGTTCTTGGACGCGTCGTAAACGTTCCATTTCTTGTCGTTGCGCGGCCAAAGTGGATTCGTCGAGTTTAGTTTCATCCATTACTTCGCGAATGTTTCTTCGTAAGTTTCCAGCGAGTTTATTACGGTCGTTTAAATCATCTTCTGTAACTTTAAAAATGAAAGTAAAATAATTAATTTGAAGATTTGACAAATTATATTAATAGTAATGTTTGTGCAGCTCTGTGATCTTGACTAACAACCTTAATCAGTATAATGTTAAGTTTGATCAAACTTGATCAGAAAAATTGGATCAACCATTTCAACTAATATCAATAAGATAATTTCTTACCTCAGTCTATGGAAACAAATTTTATGAATGTTGAGTTTTAACCATAAAACATGCTTAATAACGTAACTCCAGACCGGCCTGCCACAAGAGTAGGTACTCGCAGTGCTCCTCTTAAATCTATATATCGCAGATATGCCAAAAACAAGATCAAAAAGCACAGCTACACGGTAGTCTAGGCTTTTGTAGTAAGATGTAGATCGTTGGAATAATTAGAGAAGATCCTGACAGCCGATTTAGAGAATCTGGGAAAGTAGTTCCAGAAATGGCATAAAAGCTACTAAGCAATCTGCGTTCTTTAATCCATAGGTTATCTAAAATCAACCTCAAATTCTAATGATACAAACGCTGCTTTAATAAATGAGCCTCGGACGAAACTAGTAGAACTTTCTAGCCTAATATCAGAGATTACTCCGGGTGCAGACCACATGCTCCTGGTGTATAGATATAGGTATCCAGTCCTGTTTTGTGAGTAAATCATGTTTCACAATTGATGAGAACGACAACGTAAACAGGAAACATGCTCAAGTTTTATGTTTTGCTCACGTTAATTGTAAAATATACAATCAAAACATAACCTCTGTGTTTAAGATGTGTTTTCCACAATGATTTTGTGTCTCAGTTAATAGTAAATCTGTTTGTAAAGTTAATTTTATTACTGAATAAAATATTATGTTTTAGAACAAATCGTGAAAAAGCGATGAGAGAATACCCGTGATAAATTGGTCGTATGCATACCGAAGAAATTTAAATTGTGCCATTAAGCTCCAGTGATACACAAATAACAGAACAAATTTCTATTATTTAAATGTATCTTTTGGTTTGCTCCATATACTAGAAAAAGTGAGATGGAAAAAGAGCCGCATGCCGAAAGGCATTATGCATAACGACAGTAAGTATCGGTAGCACTTGGAACATCGCCAGAAGAAAACTAAACTTTGACGCTACAAGATCAATCGTCTCTACTTCCTCAACAACACAATGAATCTGAAAAAGTTGGAAAATTCTCGCCGAATGATTCGCCTGATCACTGATGCGCGTTTATCAAAAGGCCTCATCACTAATGACAAGACCTAGAACTAGAATTACTCCGGGTTAGCCATCTTGAGAGATGCACGGCTAAACGCGAGTTTTAGTTGTTATTCAGTGCGAGGTTGTTGTATACTATCGCAGCTTTTGACACGCTTAACCGTAGTATTATATGGAAGTGTCCAGAACAACTAATGGTACCACAAAAACTAACAAAAATAATTGAAAACCTGTACAAGAAAGTAAATGGGATAGTACAAATGAAGGAAGAAACACCAAAAACTTTTGAATTGAGCAAAGGAATAAACCAAGGCGATAGCCTAATCTCCTTATTATTTATAATATTAATGGACAGAGTGATAAAAAATACAAAAACCAGAACAAATAAATATCAAACAGTAATAGGTTATAAAAGTTTGGAACCAGTAAAAATAGATAATTTATTCTATCCTGACGATATAGTGCTGATAGCAGAGACCATAATAAGGTAAAGAAATTGGTTGAAATATGGACAGAAGAAATTGAAAAGATGGGCCTAGAATTGAACGTAAATAAATGTAAAATCGTGATGTAAGGGACATGTAAAGAACGAAAGATAGAAGAAGTATCATCATATGAGTACTTGGGCAGTATAATATCACAAGATGGAACGATAGATTTAACGTATATCATACTCTAAAGAGAACAATTTTTGGGAAGAGGGAGATAGATAAAAAGATAAAATTGAAAGTGTTCAACTCGTTGGCAATCCCAATATTAACATATGCTAGTGAGTCCTGGACACTCTAAGATAAACAGGAAGGAAAAATCACAGCAATGGAAATGAAGTTTTTACATAAAATAGGGGAGAAGACGAAGCGGGATGTAATAAGAAATGAGGAAATAAGACTGGGATGGATCAAGAGGAGATAATCAGCAAAATAGAGAGAAAGCAACTAAACTGGTACGCCCACATAATTAGAATGGAGCATAACACAATAGTTAAAAAAGTATTTGAAACAAGGAATAGGGATAAGAGAAAAAGGAGAACGCGAGTACTGGATGGTTAAGTAAGTTGGTTTGTTATATTCTATTGCTTTTTCCCCTACAGTTAACTACGAAGTGTGCTTCAGGATGTGGTGTTATAGGAGATGAGAAAACAGCTTCATTCTGGATCTGAGCTGTAATATTCCTTTCTTGTAACTATTAGCAGTCAATATATCTATAATAAAGAGACTTTTATCATATAGATTAATATATGTATTCTACAAAAGGACACTTTTACATAAATCCAGCTCTTAGCCAATTACAGTGCTTAAAACCTCTGGAACTATGGCAATGCTCTCCTAGATAGTTTATCAGGAAATTGGTAAAGGTCAATTTAAATGAGCTGATCAAGCTGGAATCTAACATGACAACCAAGTCAAAGTTACATAGCTGTACGAGTAAATTTCTTAATTCTTAACTTCATTTTCAACATCCATTAATTAAGTTGTAAGGTTTCTTGAATGACTATCAAAAATTTTTTTAATTGAATTTCTATATGGATTAACACAACAAAAACTAATTAAAATAATAAAAGTACAATTTCGTGACAGGCGGCGGACTACAAACCACAACCGCAAACCGCAGGCGACTCTTTGGTACATATACAGGGTCTGTCACTATGAGCTGAGTCTATATTTATATGGCAAACTACTGGTACTGTTTTTGTGAAAATTTGCATACAGGGTTTACCCGTTTACCCATTTTTGAATTATTTCAGTTTTTTCGAAAATTTTGGCAGATGCAACCCTTCACAATAAAAATAATTTTTCGAAATTACACCTGAGTCCGGCCAAATATTCTCAGGGTTTGTACAGAGAGGACTCATAGCTGACATAGGACTTAAAATTTTTTTTAAAAAGTTATACAGGTGGTCAAAAATTCGCGTCGAATTTCTCTATCTCGAAAAGTCGAAAACTTCATTTTTTTAAATGACAACCCCAATTTTTCCTTCACCTGCGTATTGTACGCTGAAAAACAAGGGAACTTTGTCATTACATCCCTATATCTAAAACGTACGGTTTTCGTAGAAACTTGAAAAAAATTAAAATTTATTATTTTAAAAAAACATAACTTTCATCCTTATTCTTACTCATTGACACAAAGTTTAAGGCCAGGTGACGACCAAAGGAGAATTGATTTTTGTGAATTTTTGTTGATTAAAACTCAAGAAGAATTATTGAATTTTGGAAAAAATAATTTGGACGAATGAGGCAAAGTTTTAGAAGAATGGTGTGTTTAACCGGCATAACTCTCCTTATTGGAGTAATATTAACCCACATATATTTCGTGAAAGACAATTTCAAGGATACTGTAATTTTAATGTTTTAGCTTATTGGAAATTGTATGGAGATCGGGCTTTGAGGAGAATTTTTGAATGAAGGCCCTTCTTCAAATTTCTTCGTTTAGACGTTAACCACAAAGTCTCCTTGCGTTCTAGCGCACAAGAGCATTTGTTTCATTCATATCACTTACCTCAAATCAAAGCCAACTAATAATTTTAAATTTACTAATAATCACGAAAATTTCATTTTTTCAAGTTTCTACGAAAACCATACATTTTAGATATAGAGATGTAATGACAAAGTTCCCTTATATTTCAGCGTAGAATACGCTGGTGAAAGAACAAATTGGGGTTGCTATTTAAAAAAATGAAGTTTTCGACTTTTTGAGATAGGGAAATTCGGCGCAAATTTCTGACCAGCCTATATACTTTTTTAAAAAACTTTTCAAGGGTGTTGTAAGCTATGGGTCTTCTCTGTGAACACCCTGAGAATATTTGGCCGTACTCGAATGTTATTTTGAAAAATTATTTTTATTGCGAAGAGTTGCATCTGCCAAAATTTTCGAAAAAGCAGAAATAATTCAAAAATATTGTACTCTAGACATATGATGATTTATATCAAATTATATTAATATTTAGCGGGGATCTCGAAAATTTAATAAATATTGGTACATTCCATTTAAAATAACGCAGTTGGGGTCCATTTCCGGTATAAGCGGAAGTTGGAGAAAACTGAAAATATTTTAGCTAAAACGAGCACCTCTAATAAAACGATATATGCAAATTTTCAGAAAAATAGTGCCCGTAGTTTACCACATACATATAGACTCAGCTCGTCGTGACAAACCCTTTACAGGGTGGTTCAGATTTTAATTGGGAAACTTTACTAGGACGTAAACTTCATTTTTTTTCTATAAAACCTGTCAAATTGTTGTAAAGTTGGCAAAATTAACAGGGAGTTTTGTTTTATCATGTTTTGAAATAGATATGTCCTAGAAAAGGTGTTTTGTTCTATTTAATTACTTTTTAGCACGTTTTTACAATAAATATGTACTTCGTTAAAATCGTATTTATCTAAAAATTTATTAGTATTTTAACCTCAATTATTTAGTTACTGAAAATGTTACTAAAAATCAGGAAAACAACATAAATTTTATAAGGACCCTAGATAATACCAACAGAACCCTAAAAAATTTAAATGACAAGTATTATAGAAAAAAAAACGAACTATAGTACTTGCCAAAATAACACATATAAACATAGAGTCGCAACTCTTTTGTTTTTGAGCAATGAATGATTAAAGTTGAGCCAAAAATTTACATTTTATTTTATATTTCAGCTATAAGTAAATCATAGAATTTGAAAATTTGTATGTATTTACTACTGGTTATCACCTTATTTCCAAGCATACCTTAAGCTTCAATAGCGCCTTCTAAGGTGATAAAATTCACAATCTTTTTGAATTTTTTATAAGAACTTTTTAGCAGCATGGAATATTAACATAAAAAAGTATGAATTGTAAAGCTCATTCTTTTATGACACTTATTAGTGTCTCTTGAGTTTCATTTTTGTTGAATCCTCATAATTGTAAATATTTTTCAATATTTTTTGATTATACCAAAGTGGCGCCTGTCATGGAATTGTACTTTTAAATAAAAATGAATTAAAAATGAAAATTAAAAATGAAAACTCACCACTTTTTTTAGCAGGTGTAACACTAACTTCATTAACAGATGTTTCCTCACTTTTCTTAGGTTTATCGCCTTTTTTAACAGTTTCAAAACTAATCTCCCCCATTTCTTTTAATTTCTCCTTAATATCATACTCGTAGTCATCAACTTCACATTTAATTTCGCTTGGATTTTTAATCTCTTCACTTTCCTCATTGGGATAGGGTTCGTCGACCAACTTATCTAAGAAATCAGTGCTTGTTTCCAATTCTGAACTAATCTCGGCAGGTTCTCTAATATGAGATTTAATTCCAATATCCTCATCTGATTCAATTTCGCTCTCGGAATCGTAATCACTAAGTTCTGGATCGCTGTAGCTAAGATTACTAGATTCATCTCCGGTTTTCTTAAATTCAAATTTGGTACGTTTGTTGGAAGGGCCTGCTAGGTTATCAAAGTTTCTTTTTATTCCTTGACTGTCCTCGAGGTTTATATCCGAATGGATTTCATCTTTACTTTCGTCATCCACAAGATCACCACCACTTTGGAGTCCCACCTTGGAGTCTTTCGTTTTATCCAAACGTTGAATTGTAACATCTCCGAGCCGTTGAAACACAGGATCCATTCTCCAAGAGACAACAAAAAAAGTCGAGACGGCACAACGTTTATTCACGTTAAAGTTACATTATTTTTAAATTTGCCGCTACCCGAACCGGCTATGTAAACAATACCGAGAATGATTACATACAGTTTATTTACATTAGAATCGGTTTGGGTGAATTTTTTTCAAAACGAAGTACCTAAAAGTTTTAAAACCATCGGAATTTGTTAGGTTAGAACAGTTGCGAAACGTACGGAAACAAAACACAAACGAAGTTGATCTTCTAGAAACGCCACTTTGTGTTGTCAAACTAAACCGAACACAAACGAAATTTCACTCGCGGATATTCTTTCTTGAAATGTGTATTAGACGGAAATGATTAAAGCACGCGTAAACACACACGGTGAAGTTTTTTTTGACTTGAAGGGATTGATGTTGTGTTGATTATTTGGGACTCACGAAGTACGGCATTGTGTTCGGTCAATGAGGGAATTATATTCGTTTACCAATCATTTTCGACAGTAGAGGCGCTGACATCGCGTTCGGTCCTCGCCGCAAGAAAATTTAACACAACTAGATAGAATAACATACATATCTATAAGGGGACCTACTCATACTCCCGTTCAAACGTTACATTACACAAAAGCGTATTGTCCTTATCTTTTTCCACTTTTATCATTTATCACTTATTCACACAATTTTAAATGCAAATTTGAATTTGGCCAGAAAATTAAAGAAATTCTCATCAAAGCATGCGTGTCTTATTGATCGTTAATTTTAATGGGTTAATTACCCCAGGATTTGTTTATTACTACTTTATTACCTCGAAATATTACACCACGTTTTAATTAACTCTTTTATTAATCTTATCACCTTTTAAATCATTAAAAACTATTCGTTATTGCGTTTTCTTTTTTGATAAAGCAAAATTTTAAATTTCGCGGGTTTAGTTACCAACCTAAAAATTTATTTTTCACCAAATAAATTATAGGTTATGTTTTCTTTTAGGTTAAGGCGGTAAATAATAAGCGAAATGGAAGAATTCGAAGAAAATAACGAAGAAATAAGAGTTTTAGAAGAAAACGTTCCATTAGAAAATGAATTTACCGAGGAAACGCAAAAATCTTCGAAAAATAAGGAATCTCACGCAAATCAAGAACGAAAATTATTAAGGTTACCTTTGTGGAAAGTAAAAAGGATTATGAAAATCGATCCCGATGTTCAAGTTGTTAATAAAGAGGCTGCTTTTTTAGTCACAAAAGCTACAGTTTGAGTTTTGTAATAATCATATCTGTCAAGTCATTATCTTTCTGTTTTTAGGAGTTATTTATTCAGTATTTAACTAAAAGCGTTCATAAACATATGGATAGCAAACGAAAAACTATTATGAAAAAAGATTTTGATGCTGCTGTTAATGATGAACCTAATTTATGTTTTTTAGATGGTACAATGGCTCATTTATAAATAATTTTTGTTTCGGTTAAATTGTAGAAAAGTAATAATAAAATGTACATACACAACCTTAATAAAACTACAGTAAAACCTTGATATAACTTAGTCCATTATAGACAAAAGTCTGTTATATGAAAAAATTTAAATTTAGACTCTGAAGACGCACAACTAAACCCAAAACTTTCAATCTAACACTGAATAACAACTAAAACAAGAACTAAAATTTGAATCAGAAACATTCTGGTTTTGCAGTGCGTCTTTTAAGATGGCTAAACTTGAATATTTCCAGGTTTAGGTTAGTTGTTATTGTAGTTTAATGAAAAATATACAACAATTTTGCCTCAGTATACAAGCTGATTCAAAAAACTGCTGATAGACTTCTAGAGTAGGTCATACATGAAAAATTAATCTGTTTTGACAGCATGTGTTAACATCTATAACAATTTAGACTATAATTTAAAACAGTTAACATTAAAAGTACTAAAGAAAAAACTCAAAGACTATCTAATAGAAAAAGCTTTGTGCGACTTTTTTGAAGAAAAAGTGACTTGTTAACATTAGAGAAATTCCTAATACTAAAACTTTTGTAATTATTATTTTTGTTGACGTTCCAAACCATTTTTGGTATTGTATGTGAATGAGTAAAGATGATTATGATTATTTCATATGATATATTTATCATATACAAAGTACTGTTAACATAGACCACCACTTAACTGGTGGTCCCAGTCCTCTAAAGGTCCTCTAAAATTAAACAACATCTGCAATAAAACCCCTTTTTTAAAAATATTTTCTACGCCACTACTAATTTTGTCAAACAGGCACTATTTTCGTGTAAATGGATCAATTATCTATCAATGAGTCTCTTACAAAACTTTGATTAAAGCAACAGTTTAAAAAAAAAACACGTTTGTAGAAAATTTGTTAATCCAATTCATTTTAGTTTCTCATAGGCTTGTGCTATTCAAAATAAAATTAAACATACGCTGTCATTAATGTCAATATAAGTGTGCAAGTGAGTTAAATAAGCTAGCTTATAGACTTCTTTTTGTCACTTTTACGGTTGTTGTGCAATTACTTCTGCTATTTCGCTATTTTCGATAACAGTATAAATTACGAATACGCCTTTCAAGAGATGACAGATTGCATCTATGTTATGGGGTTGTGAATTTCGTTTCACGTGATGCAGTTAGACGGTACAGGGAAATGTTTGCTGCACGAAGAATACCAAATTGGCAAATGTTTGATAATATCGATAGAAGATTAAAAGAAACAGGTAAATTAAAACCAACCAAAATTAATTCTGGATGACGGCGTTATGCTAGAACTCCGGAATCTGAGGAAATGGTTCTGAGAGAAATAGAAAATGATATAACAAATTTCTGAAAATTTAAACATATTTGTTGCAAGTATGCAACACAATACGCAATTTGCGTATTGCAATACCAATATTGTGATATTGGTTGCATACTTGCTATGATGACGTCGGGTACGATAATTAATTAACACACTGTATACTAATGTATTAAATAGATAATATTAATAGTATGATTTAAAAATCCATTATATTAAGGTTTTACTGTAAATAAAATAAAATTTTTAATAATAAAACAAATAAAATATGAAGCTTTTACTTTTTTATTTAGCATTATTACACTTATTAATTAAAATAAAAACGTACAGTCACAAATCAGAATCACTTAAACTTCTTCCTATTGTTTCTGCGTCGACCATTCGCACCTCCATCAACATTCTGCCCGTAAAACTTATTCAAAAGATTCTCCAAATTATTCGGATCTTCAGCGCCGGCTGTTGAATGTCGCCCGGTTGGTGAATGTCGTTTACAAGAAGAGCCTGGTTGTGATTTTCCAAGTGCAATTCTATATTGGACGTTATGCGAATCGGGTTTTAGTTGCTTCAAACTGTTTTTTTGGCAACTCGCCCAATCCGTTATATCATACACTCCTCCGTCCATGCACGCGTAATAATTCCATAACAACCCGAAACAAGTCGCTTCCGCCCATATATCGCCTTCGCGAGCTGCGTGGAATATTTTACACATGTTGCAATTTCGTGCGGCGTATGTTGGTCTTTCTATTTTTGTTCTTTTATGCCCTGAACCACAGTAACTACAACGTATCGTTTTTGCTGCCGCTTCGACTTTTTGTTGAAACTGTGCTAAAAGTTCTGTCAACTCTGTCCATGCTTGTTCTACTTGAGCTGATTCAGCAACACCTAACAAAGAAAATTAAATTAAAAAAAATAATTATATCATGATAACAAAAATATGTTTTACCCCTATCGTAGGCTGCTCTCCTTTCTGGTTCATTAATCATATCGAATGCATGTACTAATATTTTAAAAGCTTCTTCAGCTCCTGGTTGTTTGTTTTTATCCGGATGTACCAACACAGCCTGCTTTTTATAGTAACGTTTGATATCGTCATCCGTACATGCCGGAGTTACGCCTAAAATGCTATAAGGATCTTTACCCTTACACGCTAAAAGGCGTTTCATTGCTTCCTCGCCGGTTTGGGGCATATTGATGTTGTACTGAAGTCCAGCTCGTACGAACGGCTTTTTCTCTTCTTTTTCTTTCGGTTTATTGAATTTTTCATAGATCCACATAAATAACCGTACACGACGCACTATGTAAATGCAGGATTCTTTGAATGATGCCCAATTTATTATAGTCCATGTCCACATAAATGTCATACTGAAAAACAGAAAAAAAATTAAACGTTTAAGAAATCTAAGAAAATTTTTATTAGAAAATAAAAACTTTATTCATAAAGTATTTTCAATTTAATTTTTCATCAATGTTTTTGGAAACGTGGTCATTTTAATGTTTTTTGTATTAAGCAAATTTACCATTACAGATGGTTATGTTACAGAAAGCGCAACAAGTTGAAGTGGAGAAAACCAAATTTTTCAGTTTGCAAGCTTTTGAATGACTGGGATAATGTAAACGATATCATCTAGTCCAGCACTGGACTGGATTGACTCGCTGGATTACTAAGTGGACAGAAAGAATGTGAACGATACGATCTAGTCCAGTACTGGATTAGTGTCAAACGATAATAATTATAACTTTATTTAAACAAAGTTTTATGGTGCAGTATTGACGTCAAAAGAAAAGAAAATAATTAATAATGTTCACATAAAGGAAATGCAAATTACAAATAATAAAAATATAACAATTTCCGATGATTCATCTCTCGCTCATCCATTCAAAATATTCTTGCACAGTATAGTATTCATTCTCCATGAGGAAATTCTTGACAGTGATTCGAAACTGTTTTACTTCCATGCTTCTTGTTTCCCATGGTAGTGCGTTTTATAATTTGACGGCTATATAATCGTATGTGTTTTGTGATTTGACCACTCGATGATATGGAATCACAATATTTTTTTTGTATCGGGTGATGTGTTCGTGATTGTCTGCGTATTTCAGCATCAAATCTTTAATATTGTGAGTATACTCCAAACAGGAGCATATAAAAAGCACGGAAAGGTAAGCCTTTTTAATTTTTTAAATTGGGTTCTACAACTCTCTTTTTGGTCGTTTCTTTTCAGCTTTTTTTTGCATAACGAAAATGGCTTCCATCTCTTTAAATGCACCCCACGTAATGATCCCATACGTTGCGATAGCATGGAAATACGCGAAGTATACGCTTCGTCATGTCTCGGCTGGAAGGTTTGAACGTATTGTTTTAAGGCAATACAGAGCACTAGACAGTCGCCCTTTCAGGTTTAAGGACCATTTAAGAGTTTCTGAAATAGTAACTCCAAGGAATTTTATGGATTATTTGTCACTCCATCGCATCGTCTTGTGTGAAAGGTAAGTATCTTTGTTTTTTCTTTATTCATCTTTAATTTATTTATGTAGAACCAATGGTCAGCTTTTTCTATATTTTGTTTTGTTTTTTCTTCGAGCTCCTTGATGACACCACTTCTCGCAATAAAAGATGTGTCATCTGCATAAAGACAAATTCGTTCTGCTGGAACACTACCTGGTAAGTCATTGATATACATATATAAGCAAAAGTAATGGATCCAAAATCGAACTCCACTTCTCACTACTCTCCAGGTGGATTGTTTGCCCCTCCAGAAGACCGATTGTTTTCTAGTCTCCAGATATGATACCAAAAACCCCAGTGCAGTGTTCTTTATTCCATATTTTTCTAATTTGACTGTCATTATCGAATGATCCACTGAATTAAAGGCTTTACTTAAGTCACAAAAGACGATTGGGGTGAACTGTTCTTGATTGAAACCAAGGATTACCGCTCCCAGTACACTTAATAAAGCAGCTATAACAGATTTTTGTTTTTGATAACCATGTTGACAGTTTGTAAACAATTTGTTATTGTTGAAGTAATACTTTAACAATTTCTACCAATTTTTCGTTTACCACTATTTCGAATATTTTTGGTAAGGTAGGCAATATAAATATTGGTCTGTAATTACTACATACACTTTTATCTCCCTTCTGTTGTACTGGCGTTAAAAAACTCCTTCTAGTAGATATTTGTTTATTATAAAACATAGGTGTTTGCTTATGATTTGTTCTAATTATTGTATTAGTGCTGATGACAGTTCATATATGTCCTTAATATTTTTTGCCTTTAGACCTTTTATTATATTCCCAATCTGCCGTTCGTCCACTTCACCCAGAGATATCATTCTTGAAGTTGGCAAATCCATCAAGCTGATAAGATCTATGTAGTCGACTGTAGAGTGTCCTGGTGTAGTCTCAACCTGAGAGAAGAAAAGGTTTAAATCTTCAACATTCAACTCTGGGTACTCTATTGACGTTTTCTAGACTTTCCCGTTTCTTGTTTGACTAATTTCCAAGCCGTCGAAATTTTATTATCGGATCGACTTACATACTTTCCATAAGCTTCAATCTTCGCTTGATTTAATTTCTTTGCGTATTCTGCTTTTAATGTCTTGTATATTTCCTTCAAGTGGCTTTTCTTTGTTACTCTAATTACTGTATACAAGGCGTCTAATATATTGTTGGCCATTTAAGATTTTTACCCCCAGTTGTTTTTTTAGCTTTCACTTCAGGGAAAGCTTTTCATTATGGCTGAATGGAATATTGTAAAACAGGTTTGGGCGTCATTTGTTTTTAAATACATAAGGGCCCAGGTTACGTTTTTCAATAAAGTTTTAAATATTTCAATGTTTCTATGATTTATTTTTCTACGTTTGATCAATATTCCAATTGATTTATTTAATGAGGCGGTTCTCTTCAGATGGCAAACATTCTTCATCTGTATTTGACAACTATGAAATATATGCTTCTATCTCAGTATCAACATGTTCTAGGTTTGAAACATCCATAGGATTTGGTATTGGTAAAGTTTCCGAATGAGGAACTGGACCAGTAGTAGGAACTGGATCCTCTTATTTTTTTCTGGAAAACTCGAAGGTCTTTATACAGCAAAAATGGCAGTTTGGTGAATGGTCCTTTTGTTCTCACCAAATCATAGGTCGCGCAAATGACACAGCAACGCTCTTACTTTGTAACAAGCTCTTCAAAGTAACACCACATCGTGCACAGCAATTGTAAGGAGTCCACAACTTGTCTTGATACTTTTAATTTAAAATAGAGATTCTTTTTCTTTTAAAGGTGTAATATTTCGTCTATACTGTTGAACGATGAATTCTCCACATACTCGTACATAACAAAAACTGTTGGGATTGTTTACACACATACGAAACATTGTAAATACAAAATACGGTTAACTAGTGTTACTATCATAAATTCACTCGATTTGAGTAGCCCAATTAGATTATAAATATCTTGATATTTTGCCAATTTTTGAAAATATTTTCAGAATTAGAATAAAAAAGTATATGACATACACGAATCCGAGTATAAGAAAAAAACTTGTTGACCAGTGTTATTAATAAAAGTTGTGATTATATTTTATTTCTTTATTCTTCAAAATTTTATTAAATTGCTACCTTTAGTAGTTCAACGTTTCTGCCAAGTTTCAAAAAAAACGTATTCCCGTGTCGCTTTGGTATTAATCAAAATACAACCGTAATGTGTCATAATTTGGAACAGATAATTCTGCAAATTAGACTTCAACATTTCAGTAATATCTAATTAGTATTTACCTCACCTCCAAAAGCTATTCTGCAAAGATCTTGAAATAACCATCAATAATATTAAAGAGCACGTTACACAAATTGTTGAACTTTTATTAGATATAATCATCTAGCGAAGGCTAAATAAATACAACTTATGAAAAAGTGTTACACATTACATTTAAAAATAAAATTAAATATTATTATTTACAATATGCTGTCTAACGATGAAATGCCCGAGATAATAATAATGACAAAGCAATTTTAAATTTATAATGTGAATTAACATTTTCTATTGTGGTAGGCTACAGATACTCCTTCGCTTAATTAAGAAAAATAAGATAAAAGGGGTAAAAAAAATAGTTAAACAGAAACATTTTTAAAGATTTTTGTTAAACATAAAAAATTTGTTTTAATGATTCATATTAATAAAAAATTCTTAAAATAACCCTAAACGAATTATTAATCTTGACGGCAAGCTTAATAAAAATAAAATGTGATTCACGCAATTAAGTATTATGTAAAAGTAATTCTAAAAGCATGATGAAACTCTGAGATAGGTCGTGGATTAGCGATAGTTTGGCATAAAGGAATAAGAAGTTCGCGGTGAGCTTAAGTATCGGATTAGGAAATGTCAAGAGAGCCAACATTTATGAGTGATAGTTTAATTACTAAATTGATGTATCTCTTGATAGAATTAAATTCCAATTTAAATTAAAAGATATTACATAAACGTGTGTGGGATTTGTTGCATAATCAGAAATTAAATTAAATGATAACTAATTAATGAGTTTAAGCTTGGCAAAGATCATTCACGAATAAAGAATGCGTATAAAGAACGATATCGTGAAAATTGTGTTGCTGTAATAGATTCGCTAAATGGTATACAAAACAATAAATAAAAAACATTTCCCCTTTAATCTTACTTTTTGTATACTTGAGATAGAAAAATGCTTTGGTCAAGAACATTGAAAAATGGTTACAATATACAGACGTAAAAATGTTATTACTCCTTTATGTCTATTAATTTTATTTGATAGGTCTTCATTAACTTATTTTGACTATTCACCCGAATTATGTTCTTGTTGAAGAATTTTGTATTAAAAATTTGTACACAATAATTGTATCATATCGAGTTATCGTTATGGACGTTTTGCCGAATAATTTGTTAATTATTAATAGTTGAGAAAGTTGAGTGTAAGCCACTTAATTAATTTACAAAATATTTAGTTTTATGATTCACTTGTAAAAATTATAAAAACATCGATTGATTTATTTATTTAAAACTTATCTTTAAAAAAATGTTTAGAAAAAGTAACGTATCATGTTTTTGTAACTGACAACCATGATAATATTTCCTTGTTAATATAACCACTGTTTGTGTTAGAGATAAGACATTTTAAGGAAATTCACCATATTTTATTTTATTAAAATCAACAAAAAAATAAAATCAAAACTCAATTTTTTTAGTAAGAAAGTATTTTCCTGTCTTAATCAATTACATTTTTAAACATGGAAATAAATCGGTTGACGCCAAACTAATACAATGGCAGAATTAGAAATAAAATTCTGAACATATTCTCACCATAATTAATCTAAAGAATGTTTACGACTCATTGTTACATTGACGTCAGCTATGCATAGTTAAAAATGGTATTTTATCGTTTTAATTTTAGTTTTCTTGATTTTTGAAAATTTTGCGTTATTAATCATGACTAAAAATTTTTAATTTAAAGTTAATTAATAAGCTTTTAAATAAAATAGTATACAGATACACTTAACAAAACAGGACACACTTATAAAATTTGTATTATTGTATTATTATTTATTAATCTAAATGTTCCAAAAATATTGAAAAGTAACATTGTAAAGTTAATTGTTTTTGAGATTTTTGTTCCCTTTCATTGCACTTCATTTTTTTTCATTATCTTGTTTGTTTCTGTAGACTTTTGGTTGACATGTTACCAAAAGTATAAATAGACATTTGTGGATATTAGCTGATTAGTACTCATCAATCCTTTCAAACATTATCCTAGTGACGAAATTGAAGCGTCCCATTTTAGGAACGTTCTGTGATAATAATATTATTGATTTTTATGTAAAGGTGTTCTATTATATCGTTTTATTTTTTGAATGATGTTTTGTATGTACTGGAAGCTTCTACATCAAATAATTTGCAGGATGTTGTGCTACTTGCACCAGATTTAAGTGATCAAAAAATTTAAAGCGACGAGGAATAAATTACTGATGAAAATTTCGAGATAGTGGGTTTACCACAAGAAGTAACTGGTGGTAAAGGGTGAGGAAGCATCCTGTGAAACAGAACCGTTGACAAAAAGACAATTATAGTGGTGAAAAATGAAGATGTAGAAGAATTGAGCACCCTGAATCATCACAATATAAAATTTTTCGATTATTTTGTGTATTTTATGTTGGATAAAAAGTTTCATTATCTCCCATTCACTTGATATAGAAAAATAGCAGTAGCCAAGCGCAACCATACCAACCAATTGTTTGCTTCCAATTTTCCAAGTGTCAAAATTCGATTTCAACATATCGACAAATAAGAAAGTAACAATGAGACTTACTGAAACTGAAAGAATCGAAATTCTAATGATGATTGGTTTCGGAGATAGAGTTCGAACACACAACGTTGTTGAAAGAAAGTCATCCAAATGGCATGCCAATATCACAATCAGCTATAAGCCGAATTGACAATAAATTTCGGGAGCTTGGACATGTACGACATAAACCTAAGGCCGGACGTCGATCGTCCTTAAATGAAGATCAGCAAGCAATTGGATGCTCTGCTAAAAGTACAGGAACATCCACATTCAACCCTTATGAATGTTGCTACTAATTTCAATTCATCCAAAAATATAGTATCAAAATTATTCAAAAGAGAAAAATATCGCCTCTATAAAATGCACTTGGTGCAGGAACTTTGCGATGGCGATTTTGCGAGAGAATGACGGAGCTATCAAACGAAAATCCTGCGTTCAGTAAAAACACTCTCTTTTCCGATGAAGCAACGTTTTGCTTACATGGTACTGTCAATAAGCAAAACTGCCGTTATTGGGCAATTGAAAATCCCCATTGGAAGGTCGAAGCGAAAACCCAATATCCCCAAAAGATAAACGTGTGGGCTGGAATAGTTGATAATCAAATTATTTATCCTAATGCAGAAAATCCCTATTTACCGCATCCAAGAATTTGGTTCCAGCAAGATGGTCCTCAACCAAATATTTAGTAATCGGTGGATAGGGAGACGCGGACATGTTGAATGGCAAGCAAGATCTCCGGACTTAACCCTTATAGATTATTTCCGTTGGGGCTATTTAAAAGCTGAAGTTTGTTTCAATAGACTTGATAACCTTGAGGATCCAAAGGAGAAAATTCAAGAATAAATTTGATTAATAACCCCGGAAATGATAGATAACCCTCAACCCGATTACGCCGACAGCAATTTGAACACTTAATTTAATAATTTACTATTTATGTTTACTATTGTTTACATTATTTTATGTAAGTTTGACAATTTATTTCTGATATCTGAAACAATTGGTTGCCATACTGCTATTTTCCTATCAAGTGAATCGAAAATCGAAAATTTTCTTATGTAACTAATATTAATTTTGACTGTACTAAATTCAGAAAAGTTCTCTTTCGAATTCCGTAATAAAAAATGGCATACTGTATTAAAAAGAAACATCTATGACGTCATAACTTGTTTAAAAATGGCGGAAAAAAGATTACTGTTCTTAATAGTTTTATCGAATTCCATTTAGTAGATTGTACAAAAATCTGTACAATTAATTATTAGCCTAAATTTGTACAAACAACTAATATACAGGTGTCTCACGTAACTGGTTCGTCAAAACTTTTTTAGGTTCCACTATACGTACAGTTTTGAAATTTGAGTAGCATGGGTTGTTCATTCGGAACTTTCGATCTAAAATATTTTCAAGGTAGGTGCCACTTCCGGTCTACCGAAAGTAGGCCATAACTTCGTTATTTTAAATGGAATGCTCTAGTTTTTATTATACCTTTTAATTGTATGTAAAAAAATATGTTAACTTTTATAAAACTTATTGGTACCTAGCGGTCTTTCGTTTTCGAGTTATTTTGATTTTAAGTTTTTTTTTGACAAATTTCGCCATGCTCTTTAAAACCCCATATCCCAGCCAACGTTCATTCAAAAAAGCTTTAAATTGGCACGATTACTCTTCAGATGCTGTTAAATAGATTGTCATTTATTGTATCAGAGTATCTTATACAGGGTGGTCAAAAATTGTATTACCGTTTCTCCATATTCAACCGCAAGAAAGTCAAAAATTTTAAATGGAATTTTATTAGCCTACTCGAAAGAGAATTTAATTTTCTATAATTTATCTATAAACATTTCTATATCTATTTATTGCAGTTTCTCTCATATTGAGAAATTTATCAAAACATGTGGAAAATGCATGAAATCATTTGTATTTTTATTAGAAGGCCATGAAATTTTGATAGTTTTTCGTTTAATTTATTTTTATTATTTGTACTATTAACTACTATTGATAATCTTTTAGTTTACTAGCTTTTACTTACCAAAAATAACAAACAGAAAATCAAATACCAAAATGAAACAATTAAAACAAAAAATTAACGACAAAAATTAGATTTGGATAAAAATATGAATTTATAATATAAATTTGTCATTAAATTGAAAATGGAAATGCAATAAAATACGATAAAATATTTATTTCGTTGTCTTGTATGTCGTTCTTTCGTCGTCCTGTATAAGATACTCCGATACAACAAATGACAATCTATATGACAGCATCTGAAGAGTAATCATGCCAATGTAGATCTTTTTTGAATGAACGTTGGTTGAAATTTACCAAAAAAAGCTTAAAACCATAATAAGTCGAAAACGAAAAACGTTAGGTACCAATAACTTTTATCGAAGTCAACATATTTTTTTACGTACAATTAAACGGTGTAATAAAAACTATAGCATTCCGTTTAAAATAACGAAGTTATGGTCTACTTCCGGTAGACCGGAAGTGGCGGCCAATTTGAAAATATTTTAGATCGAAAGTTCCGAATGAACAACCCATGCTACCAAAATTTCAAATCTCTACGAATAGTGGAACTTGAAAAAGTTCTAACGAACCAGTTACGTGAGACAACCTGTATACATATTAGCACTTCTTTCATTGCTTTCTAATAACCAATTATTATGCCATAGTTACCGACTAAAGATGTCAAAAAGTTCACAAAATGGGAACATGCTATTTTGAAAATCTCAATAGATTTTTTTTCTTTTTTTAGTGGATAATTGCTTAGATATAAAACGATTTGTGAAAATTGAAACAATAAAAACAAACATGTTCACAAGTTGGCCTCTAAAAGGCTAATTGTGTCAGATTTTTATTACAAAAACCAATGCCTACTATACAGGGTGTCTCAGCGAGATCGGTCAATAGACGTTTCTGGAGTTCTGGCCAAAATAAAAATTTGAGAATCCAGATTTAAATATTATGTGTGCATTTTTTGAAAAACCCTAATTATCTCCCAAACTATTAATGTTAGGTATGGGACATATGGGGTATAAAAGATGTAGAATGAGACACCGAAGACGACTAAGTAATAAAATATGGGGGGTGCCATTTAAAAAAATGAGGTTATGGTACTTCCAAATTTCGAAAAGTTAACATGCCATAATAAAGTGACCAAACATTCTAGGCCGTCAGTGACATCATGTTGCTTAAGCATGTTCTGAATCCTAAATTAATATCCAAAAAATCGAGTGTTTTCTGATTTTTTGAACAAATGTCTGCAGGAGCAGATTTTTCTAGGAAAATGCGAATAACTCGAGAATTGCTGGTTCAAATTGCAAAAAGGAAAGTTATTTATAAACCTTGAAAACAGACAAATTCAAATATGTAAAAATATACAGTGTTCCATTGAAAAAAATAAAATAGGTGGCGACTTCCGGTATAACCGGAAGAGCTAGAAATGTGAAAATATTTTAGTCGAAGAGAACGCAATTGATAATACTTAAGTCTAAATTTTCAAATTTTTATTTTGGCCAGAACCCCAGAAAAGTCTAATGACCGGTCTCGCTGAGACACCTGTATAAGTTCTTAGGAATGAGAAACTTTTGGAAAACATCTCTGGGTTTTTTTTTTAATCTAAGAATACCAGATTAACCAAAGTGTAATTAACTTAATTCAGTGGTGCACTCATATTTTTTATAAAAAAATCCATAAAAAGTTTATAGTAGGACCAAGTATAGTAAACCAAGGCCATAGTAGGCCTTGGTTTTTGTAATAAAAATGTGACGTTTTGTCCTAAGGTACAGTTTTTACGCATTGCATTTAAAAAAAGAAGAAAAAATGCCAAAATCAGAAAATAAATAAAGGTTTTATGAGGATGTCCCGCTTTTAAAGGGGTCACACTGTATATAAATAGAAACATTTCATTTTAAAGTAAAGTTTTCATAATAAATGATAAAAAATTGACTTACCTATCACGCCAAATTTGCCAACTTAAGCTACAAATATCAGCAACGAGATGAAACAGCCACAAAATAAAACTAACACAAAATTTCCACCAATTTTTCAAATAAATAGCCAATTTTTGCCTGTATACATCTAAAAATAAAAAAAAAAATTATATTTTTTTCCTCATAAATAACGACTTATTAAATTATTACCAAAAGGAACTTGATTTTCTTTCTTCCTCCCCCTAAATCCTTTTCGATTTCCATTATTATTAAAATTTTGATAATCTGAGTTTAAAGAATTTCCTCCTTTTTGTTTTGAAGCACTTTTTTGATTATTTTTTTTCACAGTAGTACGATTATTAGAGAAATAAGATTCATTTTTAGTTTGTAATCCGGAATCTGTATCAACAGTTTCAATCAAAGATTTATTATTGACGTTATTTGTGGTGGATTGTTTTTTATGATTATTAATATTTTTTTGTATTGGTTTATTTGTAGCATTTTCCTCGGTTTTCTTTTCTTTCACTTCTTGGGCAATTGTAAATGGTTCAGAAACATCATCCAAGGAAACCCATTTTCTATTCAACTGATTCGATTTATTTTCTTTACTTTTATCATAGGATTTAGTATGATTCTTATCATTTGTGACTTCCTTTATTTCATTTGTGGTGTTGCTTCGATTTAAACCATTAATTTTTTGAGATTTTTCATTTTTAACACATTTTTTTGTGTCTTTTTTTATCTTTATATCTTTATGATCGATTTTACCTGGTTTAACATTTCCATTTGTAGGAACTGATTTTAATAAAACATCTGAATAAGTTGGTCTCATTGGTTTTACTTCAGCAACCATTCGTGGTTTTCTTGTATCTCTATTCGCAAATTGAAAGTGCAGATCTTCATTATTGGGTCTTTCATGGTTTAAATTTAAATCATCAGGACTTAAATGACTTTTATGCTCGAATATATTTAAATTTGGCGAGGGTACATTACCAAAAGGAGAATAAGTTCCAGATGATGTTGGAGTCCAATTTCCAAGTACATTTTCTAAAATAGCTGTGTTGCTTCCTTGAGGACGACTTGGGATTTGAGTAGATGGAGGGTAAATACAATTTCGATTTAAAAAACCATTCTCAGGGTTGTTTGAATAAAGATTGACTCCAGGATATTTATAATCTTGGGGATAAATTCCAGTTAAATCATTCAGATCCGTATTTGGGATGTTTTGGTGCATATGCATTGGAAATATATCAGCCTGATCATGAAATACTTGATTTGTATGACAAAAGTTATAGCCAGATGGATTGTTGATACGGGACATGTTGATTTGGTGACCTTCGGTGGGGTTGAATTGGGGTAAATAATTGGTCCAAACTTCGGAATTTTGCTGAGGTTGAAAACCCATCGGTCTAAATTGGTCATTTTGGTTGCGAATCTCCGAAAACATGTAATCAGGATACTGTATACGCTCACTTGATCGGTTCCGCTCTGAGTCTTCCATCGCACGCTGTAAGCAGCTGTCGCATAACGTCAGTTAAACCGTGTTAGTAAACGATAATTTTGGCACGCATACACTTCTATTTCAAGGTTAATACTAGTAAAGGAAATTTTTACTATTCAGGTTTTATCTTGATTATTATTTATTGTTGTAGATTCTGTCAAAATGCACTACCAAGTATAAATACGAACGCTAGGAACGCCACCAACAACATTTAATGGTAACTACGAAAAGTAGTGGGAGTAAAAGTATTCTTTTATTAAGTTTTGCTATTTATACAAAGAGGGCGACACTGATATTGATTTTTGACGTATATTTTAAGGTTAGTAAATTAAATTAGTCATTTATATTTTATTTATTACTATCAATAATTAAAAAGTGGATACAAATAGAAACATTTATTTTATCATTTACAGCGATGGAGACCGAAAGGTATTGAAAGAAAATTGCAAACATTACACATATCGTCTTGTAATAATTTAGGTACAACATTGTTTTAATAACATTAATTGTTATAAAAATTTCAGAAAAGATAAACAATAACATATAAAGTATTTATAAGGCATAAAACAAGTAAGTTATTTTTAAAATCTCTTTTTAATCTGATTCATAAATTCATTTTAGATATATTGACACATACAGTTCAACTAGCGACATCTATTAGCAGATATAAGGATGGTACAACAAATAATTAATTAACTATAACATAATTAAAATTTATTTCTTCACGTCCTTAAATTACAACTTAATTACAATCCGCCATCATCGGCTTAAGCATCTGAAGTATCATTGTTATCATATATCTTAGTGTTATCATGCGCAAAGAACTGACTTGGAAATCACACATCAGTAGCAAAATCAAAAAGAAACAACAATGGTACTCACCCACTGTTGAAGGGCAATTGGGAATACTGGTGGCGAAAAGGCACTCTTTTAATACAGACTGGAAGGGATCTACTCAGTTCCTGGGAAAATCAAAAAGTGAGTTGAGGCTCCTCACCCACTTCCTGACCAGACACTGCAGGTTACGTAAGCACATGTTCAACACGAAGCTGGCGAATACATCTCTCTGTAGAGGGTGTGAAATGGAAGACGAGACGGTAAGTATTTCGGATATAAAGAATATACCCTTCTGTTCTATATTAACGTTCATTAACACCTTGGGCTGGTTTTTTGACAATTGAATGAATTATAAATTGTGGAGATGTACAAATATCATCATTGTTAACTCTCTTCATTAACACGGTCTTCATCTTTCTCTTCTTTTTCAGCAGGATTTTCTTCTACATATTACGCGTCTTTTAAATTTGAAATTTGCGAAGACTTTCTTAGTGGACCATCTGTGTATTTCTTTATATCTATGCAACACGTTTTCCTGATCTGCTTTAGAAACACTATTGGAAGTAAGCAACTCTAAATTATGGTTGGTCCATGATTAAAAATTTTGTGAAGGGCGAAGGGTAGCCTCTGGTACTAAATTGAATGTAAATCAATGTTGTTATCATTTCTGTAACTAGATTTCGCAGGATCTATTTTTTAATTTCAATTTCTGAAATAATATAACATTACAGTTTAGCTATTATATTTTCATGATGATTACAACCTCATTTTGACCTAAGCGGTTTAGAATACCACATCATTCCTGTTTTTGCGATGTCATTTGCGACATATTTGCCACGAACTCTCATCTAAGATCGTCGTCTTCTTCCTTTATGCATTCAACGTTGTCCTCTGTTTTGGAAGAACTGGCATCAGCATCATTTGAAAGTAGTTCGTCTTCAACATGTAGATATTCAGCAGCATTTGAAAACGCGAAGTCTTCATATAGATACAAATCATTGACTTTTCTTTATGCAGGAGGATTTTTTGGCATCTTTGGAATTTGATATCTTCGAGTCTGAAGTATAGCTAATTGTCGGAATGTTATTAGGAAACATACCTTTCTGTTTAATGTATAAGGGTTTTCATTAAATATTAAATACTTTCCTTTATAATAGCAAATTTCTCGGAACGATTTCCAAACAATCGTTTTTGCACAAATTTTTAAAATTATTTAAAGAAAATCATTAAACTTTACAAGCTATAAAAAGTATAACTATTTAAAAAAAAATTTAAGTGTGAGATTGTATGTTGAGATAGTAGACAACTCTGTATTATATACTTTATCATCTATCATTGTAAGCATGGTGTGTTTAATTTCCAGTATCTTGTTATTAATGGAGATTACCGTAGGCAATAAGTTGCGTAATTTGGTGTTCATGTGGTGCTTTCCGTGATTGATATTTTTTTATAATTTAGGGAAGAAACAGTAGTCCTATTGGATATCTGGGACATGATGAGCGAAGGTTTTGTCCAATTATCGCCTTAAGATCATATTATTGTCTTAAGATACACTGGATGGTCACAAAAGATGTAAGGAAAGTATTAGATCAAAACGATTTTCGGTTAGACATCTGTGTTTTGTATTCAACATGACTCGATCCCTCATTTAGACACCCAAAACTACCTCACTTTCTTTCTAATGCAGTATTTTAATTACCTCACTTTAAGCATTTTTTTCAAGACATTTTTTTCTTTTTACTTTGTTCACAAGTGCACATGCTGAAAATATTTTTGAATTTCTTTCTTTATGATGTTATGTTGCTCTGTCTTGGATGTAATTGTATGTGCGCTATTTTGAACCCTTCTTCCAATTCAAATAACCATGTCGCAGAACATAATTTTTCAGCTCTACATTTCTTGAAACTAATGAGTTGTATGAACCCAAAAGGGTTGTATAGACGCAATGGTTGAAGGCATTTGCCTTGAGTTTGGCCATTGAGTTTAGTTTAGTTATTAGTTACTTGGGATTCATCTGGATATGGGTCAATTGGATTGGTTTATGTTATCATGATTTCTTTCAGTAATATTTATTTAGGTCTATACCTAAAACATATTAATCTAATATAATATGGACAATACGTTAACAAAAATGGAAACAACGAACCTAAGAATGTTTTTGAATTTTAGTTTCACTGCTATAAATATAATACTTCAGTAGTTATACCAGAAAAATCAGTAATTACTGTAAGGTAATCAAATATCATTGAAAACAGTTTCTTACTTTAAAACATTTTTTGTTATTTAGTTATTGATTCCGTAGTCAAATGATAACAATTTTGAAGAAACGAAGAAGTGTATTATAGATAAATACGTGCCTTCCGTGTAAGGCGGAACATTCTGTGCCTAAACACTATTCTCGTAGCATATTCTTCTTCTGATAAATATACTGATGGTGAAGATATTGACCTAGCGACTTTACAGCAAAGGGCAACGAAAAACTTGATGGAGAAGAAGTGACCCACAGAGGTGGCATAGAAATTAGAGTGAAAAGAAAATGAGTAGATAGTAAAAGAGAAAATAAGTCCTCTAAAAGAGGTAATACCAAAAGGTAACATACATAGTGAAGAGTTTTTATGAAAACCTTTTGAAACAGAAGTTTCCGTGGTGTTTTTGAAGGTAATGATAAACGTTGAAAAAGATTTTCTAAGAACAAATCAACGGACATTGATTGTGTAATACTTATACGTATGAAATACTGCAAAAAATTTCACTATTTAGAAGAAGATTGTAGGAATCGCCAAAAAATGCAAAAGGATGCAACAAAAGCAAAGGAAATTGACTTAGAATTACAGTTAAATTTGCAAATACTATCTTCTGATGTGTCATCTATAAGCAACACCAGAAAAGTAAGCACGTATAATTTAATGATTTCCGAAACTCCACAACTGCACGAAACAGGCTTTTTTGTTGTTCTCCCTGATATACCTGAAGGTCAGAACAAGAACTAGAAGCATTGTCTACAAGTATTATTTAGACTTTTCGGCATGCTTTTCTTCTTTATTCACAGTTAGGTGAGTAACTACTTCAGCATTTCTAACATTAATCGCCTGACATTAATAATTTTGCCAAAACGAGCAAATTTGTTTAAATTCGATGTATCTACAGTGTGTTAATTAATTATTGTACCTGACGTCATCATTGCAAGTATACAACCAATATCACAGTATTGGTATTGCAATACTCGATTTGCGATATTGGTTGCATACTTCATTCATATAACTTACAGTAAGTCAATAACGTTTATGCCATAAAGAAGCAAATCATTTTAAACACAAATTCAAAAAGAAAGCAGAAAGCAATGAATATGTAATAAAAACAAATAATAATATCAAAATATAAGGTATGCAATTCAAAATCACAAAATTAACTAATACATATTCAAAAACATTTTCATACATTTTCATATAGTATGCGGAAAGAACTATTTTGACGTTCATCAACTTAAAGAACTTGATGAAGACATGTTTGATTATGACATAAAAACGTAAAAATTATTAATCAAAAAGTTTATTTCTTAAAATCACTTAAATAATAAACTCAATTAAAATGATAACGAATACAATTAATCTTTTTGGTAGTAAGAGTAGAACAATATTGAGTACATCCCTCCCTTAACTACTAACATACAGCAAAATACACCCTAATCTAACCACCGAGCGTTCCGACCGCGTACAAATTGTAGCGGTCAGTTAGTTATTCCTTATCTACGAGAACATTTATTGCTCGGTACCCAGAGCGAAATGCCAACCGCGACCGCGTCCATTCCTCAAAAGCTCATATTTCCGTACCGAGCAGCAGCAGCAGCAGCAGCAACAGCAACAGTCCTACCAAGTACCGCAAGAGATTAAGCCCCTCGTTGGTGGTGGTGGTGGTGGCGGCGGCTATACCGCAATAAATCCGCATGAATGTGTATCATTGTGGCATCGTATAACTATGCAAATTTCTATTTACGGCCGGCGTAATTAATTTAATCTGTTAATTTATCACCGTATTAATTCGTATGGCATAATTTCCGCGCGTTTTGAGTGCCGTCGAGTAGGTTTCAGGTTAGTTCAGGTTAGTGGTTTGTTGGCGGGTGGTCCCAAGTAAATGAGCGCGGACCACTTTGTAATTACACGTAATAAAATCCTGTTGGGAGACACATGACTCTGTGCTCTTTAAACTGGCTCTTTTTAGAGAGCAACGCCGGCGACATCAACGACGACTACGGGGCGGCTTCTTTTGATGATGATTTGCCTTTGCCTTGTGTCTACACGCTTCGTTAGGAACAAATGTTGCCTAAAGAATAGTATTCAACTTCTAAT